AATACAATGAATATCAATTAAAAGAAAAACAATTTAATTAAATACATTAACCATTATACAAAGTTCAACACAAAATAACATTAATTAAACACAAAACACATTAAACGAACAAGAAATGCAAAGCAACTAAAGAAACAAATTGTAGCCGTCCTCTATTGCCTGTACTTTTTGAGGAACGTGTGGCTTAAATTTGTGTTTTTTCAATACTGCATGTACAGTTTTCTTTGATGCTCTATTATTATTAGAAATTTCCCGGATGGAAGTTCTTGGGTTTTCTTCAACGTTAAGAAGAGCATTGAACTCAATGTATTCATTAAATTGGCGTTCCTTTCGCTTTGGTTTCTGAAAAGCTCCATAGTTTCTCAAATTTTCTTCAAATCTTACAAATCTACGTGGTTCTGAAACTTCTCTGTGAGGAAATAGTTCTCTGTAAAGGCGGACTTCTGCACCACGATTTTTATTACACCGAAGAGTATACCTGTCCGTCAATTGATTATTACTCATAATTTGCACTTATTTCAATAAATAACCTACTGTAAATCCCACATGAAAGAGTATAATGCGTAAAAAACTGAGACGCGAATGCTAAAATGACATTTACTTGCTTTGTTGTATTTGTGTTATTTGTTTTTCAGGCATACATGATTAGTCAAAATATGTTTGTTGTCAATTAAGCAACCGGGCGCTAATAATGCGGTATTGAGTGATATTTTCATGCTTTTTCTGTAATACATGTTAAACAAAACTAGACTTTATATACATCGTTGAATTTAAACTAGAATTCTGCACAATAATAAATAAAAAAAACATGTATTGCCATTTGAAAAAAAAAGTTGACTATCGCTTTTCATAATAAAATAATAACAAATACGATCCAATAGGATCATTCTATAGTGTATTTAGAGCCATTTCATATAATTTTTTGTTTTTTAAAATCAGACTATAAATGACGGAGTTATGGCTTGCGGCGTTTTTTAGGAGACATCCTGTATACAGGGTGTCCCAGTGTCAGCGTACAAAAATTTACCAGGGGGTAAACCAGACCAATTTAAGATTAAAACTCTTATAAAATATTTTTTGCGATACACTCTCACTGAGTTACAGGGTGTTGTTTATAAAAAAATAATAACGACTTTCCGCAATAACTCAAAAACCCTTTCAAGGATTTAAGTAATTTTTGGGTGAAGTGTACATCTATTAAAAGTCATTAAAACTACATGGTGCTTATTTCGATCTGACGCCAGGGGCGGCCTAGGCCAACATGTCCTCCAGGTTATATCTTCATAACTTTTGCATATCCTATAGTTTTATGTAATTTGATTACGTTTTCCTGAACCTGCAATCGATTCTGAACAAAAGTGTGCTCTTGTTTCATAGCTCAAAAATGAACCATTTTCGAGTAAATTGGATCTAAAATATCGACTGCATTAGTTCATAGAAAAATGCATTTAAACAGATTCCACTAAATCATATCACATTCCATATACAGGCTGTTACAAATTCGCTTCTGACTATACATATACAATCAATTTTTATATGTAATATTTCCTCTCTCCAGGACTATCACCAACTTCATTTTTTTCATACGACCCTAGAAATTTTATTACAGTTTTTGCAAGCCTTCATGATCCCCATTGCAATACTGTACTCCCTCAGCCCGAACCAGATTCAGACGTTTTGTCTCGAAAAATTCATCTTCAATGTATTCGTTCCAAATATATATATTTTTTTTTTAGATTTCTATCTTTATTGAATTATCGTACAGTCTAAGTGTCGTTAGATCCTGTGAAATCCACCTAGTTGTTTAAACTATTACCATCATACGCACACGTTACAATAAAACATTATTAGAGTTTTTCATCAAACAATTACTAAAATTAAATGACTTTTTTATATTTTTTTTATACATATTAAAAGTGTTTTTGTTGAAAACGACAAAGTTTTTTGAAAATTAACAAAGGTAAGAAAAGTTTTAGAATTAAATTCCCCATAATATAAAGTAATTTTTTTATTCCGCCAACGGCCTAAATTATGATTCTGTCACATTTTAATGGTGCATCACCCCTTATCAACCCTTTAAAATCCTTCAATTGAACTCTACTGACTGTGGTGTACTAAATTAGTTTTTTTAAGTTTACATATAACTGACATATTGATTTTTTTTATTTGAAACCCACTTTCAAGGCCTATAACTTACTGCATATTGCAACGGACTAGTAATATTACCGACTATATTTCCTGAAATACATCGTAAAATTTAGATGAAATTTCTTCAAATTTAACACAAAATAGCCATAGAAATTAATATTAATCGTTAAATATATCAAATATGTTACCATAAAAGGAAATCAAGTTTATCGAAGTCATGTAAATGTGTGACAAAAAACTGACCTGCCAACTTGCCTGCAGTAGCGATGAAACTTGGTGAATATTTACCCTCACACAGTCTACTGTCAATAATTGAAAAAACTGCTCTGAAGTATTATTTTTATCTTCGATCGTTTACATATTCGAAATTTTAAATTGATAGGCAATTATTACACCTAAATTTTAACCAAAAACTGAAAACAATGACATTAGAAAATTGTTTACCTTTTAAAATAAAAATTATAGCACCGAGGCACATGATAGCAAAGATCAGGGTTACATATTACCAGTTTACTTTATTCTTGTTTTGATAACGAAAATAGAAATACTTTCAGAAACAACAAACCGTTGATATATGTTGTTATTTCGTTTTAATATTTATGTAACTGGTTTCAGCTACGAAATCCTTTAAAAAAAAACGTGGGACCGAAAAAATAATAAAGCAATTCTCGGCGAATTTGCGTGAAAGCGAGACGAGTGCCGATGAAATTCCGCAGAGCAAAATGATACGAAAATAAGCTCCAAAATCACTATATCAAATAGTGGAGGATTGAGGCAAACGCAGCATTTGTTTCAACAATATTCTAAAAATACTGGATACTCGAATTTGCTGCCGTTTTCAAATATCCCCATTGGCCGGGAAACGTTTTCAGCCAGATGCTGTGTGGGAGCGCAACGCCCTGAAAAAGATTATTCGAAATTATAGGAACCGAGAATGGAGTGTAGAAACCCACTATAACACCAACGAAAGTCATAATAAGGGGATCGGACGGGCGAGTACTTAGTTCTTCTGCACTCTCTTGTTCAGTAAAGGGTGACTTGCGACAACCACCACCGAAATGGTATATGTCTTGCGCTCTTTTTTTTTCATTTCACCATCAGTGATCACACGCTTTGTGCAGTGCTTGGGATAGTGAGATAATTTTTACACAGTGGACGGTTTTATACACAGTTTCCATGAAATATGTAAACAACAAATTCTAATGGGATGGTTTTATAGTGCGAATTCGGTTTTTATGTGCTTTTATACGCCAAACGTTCAAATTTATGAATTGGAATGGGTGTCTGTTTTCTTTTATTGCACTAATATTTATTTCTCGGTCCAAGCGAAAAAATAACCCGCGACAACTTGAAAGACTCCATAAACTGTTCGTTCATTTATTTAATTGATCTATTTACGAGCGCTACCAGAAAATTTAACTTTTTATATTTAAGGAAAGTTATTTTTGTACGTTTGAAGATATTTCTAGATGAAGACACTATTTTTCACCACCTAGGCTTATTCAAGCTAATTTTATATAATTATTTTACATACAGCTAAAATTAAAACATGTTTCGTCTTTATGAATGCAGTGCAACTAGATTTCAGGATTTATCTTGGAATTGGGACACTCGCCAACTCGAGTTGTTTTCATCACCGCCAACCGCGTCCATTCGTATATATTTTCTCCAAACTTTCGAATGAAATTTCATATGCTACATTTCAATTCCTCTTTCAATGCTTACACAGGATGCTTATTATCCTGCATTGATTGATTTTGGTATTATATGAATATGTCAGCTTTTGAAAGGGTTGGCATGAACACTCGGCATATTACAAACATTTCACATTAACCGAGATTTACTTGTTTCATCACTCACTTAATAATTGCTTGGCTCACATATCTAGCTGCAATTTATTCACAAGTAAAGCGGAGATACAACTACTAATGAACATTGGTGTCCATTAAATGAAAAAAATCTTTGCCACTGTAAAATAACAAATATAGAAAAAATTGCAGATTTCCTTATACATAAAAAATATATAATTGTACACCTTCAAAAAATATCGGTGTTGTTAGAATCTATTAACGAAACTTGTCCGAAATATATTAAAATATTTTGGAAAAATATACTTAACAGCAAATTAAAGAGGAACAATTAAACATGCACTGGTGAAACGGCAGAAATTTACATTCTCAATTTTTGAAAAATTTATGATGAGGTGTTTATAGTCATATAATTTTTTTGAGTCAGTTTTTCATTCATTGTTGTACCTTTCAAGAAGTCATTTATTTTACTAATATTTAAATATTTTCTCTTAAAAATATAGTCTGAAATTTAAAATACTTTTATTATTGCAAACGTACCAGAAGTAAAAAAAACATACCCGGCATACGAAGAATTTTTTTGTGCAAATTTTTTAATTTACATTCGTTTGGATACAGAATTTATAAAAATTACGGTACGCCTGTGGTACAACGTACTTTTTCTGTCATTACCTTAAATTTGTATTGGGCCACATGAAACCATTTTGAATATATCTGATATATTGAAAAACTCCCTATATATTCATATATTCCCGAATTGTGATTTACTACTACAAATTTTCCTACTGTCAGACAATTTTATCGTAAATTTGGAAGGAGGCAAAAATTTCAATATTAAAAAATTTGTTCTCGCTTAAATATTTAATTTTTTATTTTTCTTTCATAATGTGTAAGACAAGTTTTTAATTCCAAAAAGCTTCGTCTTTATTTTAAATTTAATTGATACATTTTTTGCCACAAAATAATTTTAGGTACTCAAGTTTTTACTAATAATAATTAATTTTATGTACTATTTTGCGTAATATATTTTTTTATTTGTTTCAGGATGAACTCCCTCCAGAACAAATTGCAGGTAAGCCTCACATATTAAACATTAAATCACACATTTTGGAAAAAAATTAATGCTTATGAAATAATAGTCGTCCCCTTCAAATAGTGTAATAAGAAAGTATAAAATCGGAATAGACCAAATCAGGGTTTTGATTTTCTGACCAACCAACGTTTTGATTTTATTTAAAATCTTCATCAGGGCTATAAATAATAAAGATATAAGAACATAGATGAAGAATAGACAAACCAATTTAGTTGAGCATTCTGCCACACTAGAAAGAAAAAATAAAATAGTAAATATTCCTTCGAGCCAAATTCACTGTTTTCGTTATCAAAACTTTAGTAAATTTTTTTCTCGGTGTGGAATTAAATAGAAAAAGAACTAAAAATGACACAAATAAATAATTACTTGCATTATATTAAGATAGACACATATTAAAATTATTAACTAAATTGTCAAATAAGCCAATACAATAAAAATATTTAAATAATAAATTTAAAAAAGGGAAATAGTAGCAGTCTTGCCCAGTAAGATTTATATCTCTAGGTAAGGTGCCAATTCTTTTTTAAATTTAATTAAACAATTTGATTAATAATTTTCATACGCATTTGTTTCTGAAAATATTGGTATATGTTTTAAATATTGTTTTAATGTTTTTTCTCTAAAGTATTGCCTTTTTATTATTATTTATAATCCCGAGGAAGATTTAAAACAAATAGAAACATTAGCCCCAAAAAAACCGGCCCCAATTTCCCTGCCTTATTCTGATTTTATACACTCGTTTACAAAATTCACAATCGCTGTGATTTCTTCAACCGGTACCCTTTTAAGTAACAAATACTTGGGATACAGTCTTCATTATTATTTTAAAACCTCAAATTTGTTTTCGAAAAGAAGTGCGTTCACCGAAAAAATAAACTGGTAAAAAATCTGATATAAAAATAATAAAGTTACAAAAACAAACATAACTTAAAAAATCGCTCGCACACATTTCGAGTTTATTTTAAAATAAAGTAGCCCATAGTTACATCAAACATAATAACAGCAATAAAAATAGTTGGGATGCCTATTCCTACGAATTTATTAATATTTGATAGGCTGGCATTGTATATTTTCCGCTGGAATATTGCGTAAACATTCTAAATATTTCTCGGCCAAAATTATAATATGTGTAAACATGTAAAATATAACTTTGGCATAGGCGCATATGTAGGAGATGTCAGAAATCGGGATGTGTTTCTGTTTTGATGCGCCTGCAGCTGTTGCTGCGCTGAATTATAACCAGAGCCGGATTAATAAAGCTTTATATCAAAATTATATTTTAGTACCGACCTAGAAAGAGGTTTCGGTAACACTGATGTAGCGGGACACGCCGCTTTTTCCCGGAAAAAGCTTGGAAATCGTCCAGGAGATTTTTTGACACATGGCTTGGTTGTCTTACACAATAGGAAATTACACAAAATTCGATAAATACGCTTGTTAATAAACTGTGATGGGAAATTGCTTATTTTCGTACCCACTGTATTTTGGCAGAAGAAGTGGTTGCTATTATTACGTCCATAAGATAATAATTAATGCAGACATTTTTCAGCACCTATAAAACGCAAAGAAGTAAATCTCAGGCAAATTTCAAAAAATAGTTAAACTAGTCACAAAAATGGGAGCATAAAAAGGTCCTGATTTTCAAAAGGCTCGGGAACTAATGATTGTATGGGAAATTTTTAATTTTTATCTTTTTGGATATTTAACATTTTTTGATGAAAAAAATATGAATTTTTTGAAAAAATTTAAAAAAACATTTTTAATTGCCTATACTTAATTGATTTTTAGCAAAAGTGACAATTTCATCATTCGAATCACAATGAAATAAAAATCACAGTGGTTTGAACACTTGAGGGTTTCTTTGGGATAACTTGAGGTTAAAAAAAAATAAATATCCTTTGTCTATCCATTATTTGTAAAGTTATCTCAAGTTTAACTAAAATCCTTAAATACGCAATGTTTTACCTTTTTTTAATTAAAAAAAACATAAGAACGTCTTATAGAAGATACTTTGATAGAGATACTTAGAGATCTTATCTTATAGAGATACTTTGAAGTTTGTTTTCAAAACTGCGTAGATTTATCAAAACCAAAAACGTCATTTTTGCTGTGAACGACAATAACTCGGCGACAAATTATCGTATAAAGCTCTTGAATAGTTCAAATTAAAGAGAATTAATCAGACTAAAAGAGCTGACAAGTGGGATTGGCAAAAAAAAATATGGTAGCCTGTTAACCTTTAGAAAAGGAAAAAAATGTTTGAAATTTTTTTTTCCGCTGGATTTTTTAAGATTTCTTAATGGTGGCCAAAAACCAAAAATTTTTATTTTCAGATCCTGAAACTACAAAGCTCAAACATCAATTTCCTTTTTTTTATTGCTCTACGACCGCTTTCCCCCAAGTTACAACCTTTTCAAATCACATAAAAATTTATAGTCCAATTATCAACTTGCCTGAATTTTTGATATGAATTAGTTTGAGGTATACTATAACAATAAGTGACAGTAATTTTTTGTTCAACCCCCGGCCAAGGGTGAAAAAAGATAAGACAAAGGAGTTTTTCAAGATAACTTAAAAGGGGCAAGAGCTAGAAAAAAAGTTTCTTATATAAGTTGTAAAGCATACAATTCTACATAAAAATGGCATCTTGACTTTTTCTTGTACTATTAAAATTAACAGAGTTAGGGAGGCTAGAAGTTAAGGGAAGATTTCAGAAATTTAAAAAAATCATAAGCAGAAAAACGAATGAATTTTGTATTTTTTTTCAATCTGCTCTAAAAAATGTAAAGAGACACGTATTTATTTTATCGGCGAAAAAACATATTTACGGGGTGAAATACACCCTCAAAGTTCGACCCACAAAACAGTTTTTTCAAAATTTCTGGGGTTCTAATCAATATTTTGAAATGAAACAAAATGGAAATTACTTATGATAAAAAACAAATATTTCGCAAGTGATTCCGTGTTTGGGGGTTGCTACCCTTATTTTTTATTTCAGAAAAACTATATTTTTTATTTATAAAAAAATCATATTTACTCAAAAAGAATTAAAAATATGATTTATGTAAACAAATTGACAAAATTAAATTGACCTGTTTCGAGGTTAAAATCTATATTTAGGGGGGTGAACAACAAATTGAAATTGTTATAACTTTCTTATTAAAAATTAAAAAATATATCTATTTCTCTGAAAAGAAAGGTTACATTTTTTAGAGTAGATCGAAAAAAAAAATTACAAAATTCATTCATTTTTCTGCTTATGATTTTTTTAGATTTCTGAAATCTTCCTTTAACTTCTAGCCTCCTTAACTCTGTTAATTTTAATTAATTTAATACTAGAAAATGTCAAGAGGCTATTTTTATGTAAAATTGTATGCTTTACAACTTTTATACGAAACTTTTTTTTCTAGCCCTTAACCGTTTTAAGTTATTTAGAAAAACCCTTGTTTTATATTTTTTCACCCTTGGCCGGGGGTTGAACAAAAAATTACTGTCACTTATTGTTATAACATACCTGAAACTAACTCTATAAAAAATTCAGGCAAGTTGACCAAAATTTCGATTTAAAGGCTTATTTAATAATTGGACTATTAGGATATTCTTTATCCTTTAATTTTTGTTACTGGATTATTTTAATAGGCTTTTGTCTTTTGATACTTTTCTATTAGGCTTACAAATTTTGTCCCTTTTTTCTGTCCATTTTATGAGTTAATACTTAAAAAAACATTTTAATTTCACTTATTCTGTCTGTATACATTCCATCACACTGCCTTTTGATGTATACAAATAAATGGTAATTAACCTTCCATTTGTCAGCTGGACTTGGAGGAGTAATTATATTTGAGATATAAGCTGATGCCAAATGATAATATCGATGAAAACAGTGGCAGTTTCCATATTTTCCAAAACGGTAGAAACCCCCACACTCAAAATAACCTACGCTCCACGTTTTAGTATTTGTCTCGGATTTTTTTAGCGTTTAGTTACAATTTTATCTTCTGTGTCTATGTTATAAAAGTCTATGTTAATTATTATTTACAAATTCATGTCACCTAAAATTAAATAATTACATAGGTACCTATAATAAAATATTGTAAATATTACAAGTCTGTTTTGGCATCTTTGCTGAAAATTCCAAAATACTGGGGAAAACAATCTAGTACGTTTCTAACTATCTACAAAATATGACAGCGCATAAGGCATGCAAATTATAGCGTTGCAACAGTAAAAAGCAAGCTTGATGCATTGTTTTCAAAATTGTGCCAACTATCTAGTCATCGGATTTACCACTGATATTTCGGTGACAGTTATACTTAAAATTACGAGTTTTGGTGACAATTTTCACTATGGAAAACTTTGTGGTACTATTTCCGCAAATGAATAGTTATAAATTATGTAAACTTAAAGGTTTTGATCTAGAAACTATTCAGGTTATCAGTCGAAGACTCAGTATAGTGTTGTTTGGATCAGTGGTTAAAACGTCAAAGTGGAGTTTATGTTTGATTTTTTCTCTAAATTTAGCCAGTGAAATGACCGAGCACAAGTTTATACAAAATCAATTATATCCACAAATTAAAAGTGAAGTAAATAAACAGAAAGTACCTAATCGTTTCATGTGAGACCGACACTACACTCCATGCATTAAAAGGTGGTATATGTCGAGCTGTCAAGTTCTATTCCTGAACATAGTCCGAAATTGAAGCTTTTAAATACGCTCCTTGATTTCAAGCTCACACTCAGATTAAGATCTAGTTTAAATGGGACGTTATTCGATTCGATTCGTGCGACGCAAGTTGTCTTCTGATATACAGGATGTTGCAATTTCTACCGACATAATTTTACCGGTGAATCTCTGATCAAAAATAAGAAAAAAGTTCATATGGACGTAGGTCCTCAGAAGGTTTGTTTTAAAGTTTTATTATACTTTTAATATTATTCTCATTTATTTTATATAATTTGAAAAATGCCCCATTGAAATTCAGTACGCTGAATACTTTGTTGAGAACCGACAAAATGTACGAATTACCTACAAGTTTATAGAAAAAGCTACCCTTATTTTTTATGCCGAAAATATACGGTATGTCCACAGAATAGGAAAAACTTTCTTATTTTCATCTTATCGAAAAAAGTTGCTCTTGATAAAATATTTTACTGGTTCTTAGAGTAAGATTGGGACAGAAAAATTTAACATTTCTTTTACGGGGTGTTCAAAACATTGAAAAAACTGTAAATGGTACAAGAGCAAAGGGCACCTATTTGTGATGTGGAAATAAGTTACTAAGAAAAGTTCTTCAAAAGTAAAAGGCAGTCTCTAATACCAATTTTCGAAAGAACCGGCCTACATTTATTTATTTGTAATCATTAAATTTATTTTACACAAATTATATTATTAAATAAGTGCACTTTACTCTTTTACCAATTAAAGTTTTTAAAATTTTTTGAACACCCCGTATAAGAAATGTTAATTTTTTTCTATCCCAATCATACTCTAAGAACCAGCAAAATTTTTTATCATGAGCAACTTTTTTCGATAAAATTAAAAATAAGAAAGTTTTTCCTATTCTACACCTTCTCTGTCGAGAGTGAAAATTTAAACCTATACAGGGTGTCCCTGAAAAGGATGGACAACGCTTGACCACAGGTTCCTTGGATGAAAATAAGACCATTTAGCCTAACAAAAGTGCACGCCTACTGAGATATAGCCTTTTAAATATAGAATAGATAACCTATTTTTTTCAAATAATTTGAAAACTATTTTTCTTAGAAACTTCAAATTTGGTAAACTTATTTTTTTATACAAGGGTAAGGTAAATATAGAATTTGGAGAGAATACATATACAGGATGTTTTATTTCTAGTGCCTGTGCGTCACTGGCTAACCCGTAACTTTTTTTGTGTGTGTGCCAATGACGACAGAATTTATATTTTTAAAAACAAGCACTATTTTAGAAGATTTTTTTGCTCTTACAAAATTTCGATATCGTGTAAAAATATCGAGTAAAATTCGCATTTTTTATACATTAAATATAGGCAAAAATTCCGATTTATAAAAAATAATTTATAACTGCAGCCTCAAAGCAGGGAATAATAATGAAAAAACGTAACATTAAAAAAAATAACTACACATTTTTGGTATTATTTGGTATTATCAATCAATAAAATAAAAATCAACACTAATATTTTAAATAAACAATATCAACTAATAATGTAAGAAAGTCAACATTACCATTTTAAATAAAGTGATATTTGTAATACTATTAAAATAATATTACAGTAAATACTCAAAGTTACTTTCTGTTCTTAAACGAAAACATTAGTTCTTCGAAAATTAGAAATTATCCTATAATTGTGCATTACCTCTCATAACATTAATTTCATGTTGTATTCTTTCCCGTATTCGTTTTCTGTATTTACTGAAAAGTTATTTTAAACTGGTCCTCAACGCTCCCCAAATGAAATAATTACATAGGTTTAGGTCCGGGGATCGAGGTGGCCATTTTAAAGGGGCATTATTTTCTCTACCTATCCACCCGTTAGACCTTTAATAATCTGTAATACCTACCTGTACCCTGTAACACCTGTAACCTGTAATAACTGGTCTTTTAATACTCTATTAAAGGAACTTTTTGAAAGCCAACCTCTGCCGCTAAACGCCTTTTATTTACTTGAGGAATTTCTTCGACCCTTTTAATTATTGTTATGAATTTGTTTCTCTGTTATATGGCACCTCGTACTAGAATGTTCTATTTGTCTTAAACTGATTTTATATTATTTAATGTATAAAAAATGCCAATTTTACTCGAAATCCATAAACGCTTCCAAAATTTGTGGCAAAAAATCTTGTAAAATAGTCGAAATAATTCTGTCGTTATTGGCGTACATACAAAAAAGTTACGGGATAGCCAGTGTCGCACAGGCACTAGAAAGAGAACATCCTGTATATGTATTCTCACCAAATTCTATATTTACATTACCCTTATATAAAAAAATATGTGGACCAAATTTGAAGTTTCTAAGAAAAACAGTTTTCAAATTATTTGAAAAAAACTAGGTTATCTGTTCTATATTTAGAAGGCTATATCTCAGTAGGCGTGCACTTTTGTATATATGTAAGTTAGGCTAAAATAGTCTCGTTTTCATCCAAGGAACCTGTGGTCAAGCGTTGTCCATCCTTTTCAGGGACACCCTGTATATAATTTTTGTAAAAAATGAAATAAATATACAGAATACAGTAAAGTATATAAAGTAAACTTTTAAAACTCTGGGGTAATTTATGCTGGTATTTAATTTTATTACATAAATTTGGAGACACAACTAATACCTATCCAATTTTTTGTCACCGAAACAAATCCTCTGTAATGTAGCATTTAAAAAAATCAGCCGCTCGAAATACAACTTTTTTTTCTAAAAATACGACGAGGCGACAGCCTCATTCATTGATAACTAATGAATTCGCTGTCACGAGAATAAAAAAACCGCTTCGGTTCGCCGCCAAATCGCTATTAGAAATGTCGCTGATATGAATTAATTGTTTTCCAGTCTTACGCAAGGCCTTCGAGGCTTTCGACAGTCAAAAATCTGGCAGCATTCCATGTGACATGGTAGCCGACATTCTTCGCCTCATGGGCCAACCCTTCGACAAGAAGATCTTGGAAGAACTCATCGAAGAAGTTGACGCCGACAGTAAGTCATTTCTTAAAAAAATGTCAACACTTCTCTACAAATGTATTCTTTTATTTCGACAGAATCAGGACGTTTGGAGTTTGAAGAATTCGTAACGCTAGCAGCCAAATTCATTGTTGAAGAAGATGATGAAGCGATGCAGAAAGAACTCAAAGAAGCGTTTAGGTTATATGACAAAGAAGGTATATTTTCTCTATCTTTCACAACAGGCACAAGTTAAAATTTCTTCACAGTATCCTTAAATTTGTTGCAGTTGTTGTACTACACTGCTAGAAAAATTATTTGTTACAGATGTAGCTAAAATGTTGTAAAAGAGTTGACAGTTATATAGTTCGTAGGAAAACATTTCTGATTAAAAATTTCTGCAATGTTAGTAGCGGTTGTCTGGCAGAGCCGTATAATGGGGGCGATGAGTAATGTTTGTTTGTTTTTATCCGAAAATAGACCATTATACGTTATAATGTATTTGGGAGCGGGTGGACACAGAAAACACAAGGTTCTGTAATTCTCCATCATATTTATTGTTCTAAATAAAAAACAGTCTGCTGAGCGGAAATCTTTTTATAGCACTCTGTTCAGAATTGACAAAGCCGAATATACTTCCCAACGTTCTTGAAATTCAAAATTTCGAAGACTATTTTGAAAAAATGAAATCTACTGGTTTGCGAGAATAATTTTTAACTCATTCAGATCACTTACTGTTTTTTAATAAATAAATGTTAAAAAAATTAAACAATAAATGAAGAAGAAACAAAGTTGTGAAAAAAATACTTCTGAGCAAAAAATTTAATGTACAAGTGATATGAAATATTTTGCTCTTTTATATTTTTAATTAGGATAAAAATATACAAAATCAGAAAAACGCCTTATGAAGAATTGTCTGAAATTGAAAAAAAAGAAACAATTCCTAAAATGTTTTTGGAGACGTTTGAGGTAAAATGACAAATCTTGAGTTTATATTTTAAATTGATATCACTGAGTAGATCAGTGTAGTCAGATCACTATCTCTAGGAGTAAACTCCAAACAATCTTCTCAACTGGATATTTTGAAAATTCAATACGGCATTTGTAGCTCTTATAGTAGGATCGTATTCGATGCAAAATAGAGCAAAAAGTTGTCGGTCTTTTATCAAAGGAAAATCGTGTCATCATTTTTAGGAGGCGTAAGTTAAATCATTTCAAATTTAAAATGAAATTCAATGTAAAATCTGAAATACCGCTGCATACGCACTGTGTTCTGGTAGTAGCTGTAGTCGCCCAGGTGCATCGAGTGTACGAACTGGTCGGTTATACGTCAAATACTAACCTAGCGAGCTTTGCCGTCAATTAGAGAGCGCTTCCAAAAAACAAGTAAACAACAGTGGCGCGTACAGAGGTAAAATGTAGTACATATGTAGAATTTAGGAAACAAATTGGATTTATAATAAATTACATTTAAAATAAATAGTTTATGAGAATAAAGGAATTTTTGTAGGAACAAGGGTGCCAGACCTGAACTGATCCCCTCGTCCCTTCATAATGTATAAAGAAATTATTCAATTTGTAAAACCCTTAAAAGCGTACTTCATTGGTTCCCTTGACAGGCAATGATTTATTACTTTGCATCGAATATGATCCTACTATAGTTGTATTTCTATCCATTTTGAAATTATTACTTTTTGCTACTCTGTATTTGATAAAAGGCACCATAAATTCGTGAGATTATAAAATATCACAAATTAAGACGATTTCTTCTTGTGTTTCTTAAATTTTTCAGTTTTGATTTACAGGGACTGAAACGATTTCTTCTAAAAAAAATGCATCGAAATCTGATTAATTGTAAGATAAAAACAGTTTAAATACGTTACTGATGTTAGTTGATTTACCAATTCCCATGGGCGTAGCTAGGATTTTTGCTAAGGGTAGGCCTAGTCACGTAATCAGCGACATCGATATTTCAAAACCTAAACGCTCTTTGGTTTGACTCAAATGCGTCCAGTAATAATAATGTAATTTTTCAAACTTGCAGCATGCAGCAACGATTAAGGGGGGAGGCGTGCCCCCCACTGCCCCCCTAGCTACGCCCATGTTAACTCCTAAAGGTCGTTACATAGAATGTTTCCCCGTGACATTTTGGCGTACCTCTTTTGGTTAGGTTAGGTTAGGTTCTTTACTTAAAATGTGTAGTGTTCCTTTACTAAATACTATTCTACAATTACTCTTTATACTAGAAACCGCTGTAAAAAACTTAACCTCAAAAGAGTTTTGACAAAAAATGTCAGTGGGAAAGGTCGAAATAATTGGTGGTAATCTAGTAGCACAGAAGTATTTGGCTTTTTTTAAATACCATGATTATTTCCTATATCAGGTACGTCATTAAACCTAAAATAACCTAAGAAGATTCGGAAAAAATCTATACGATTTTCTTCTAAAAATAGGATTTTAAATACATTTGAATCATAGAAATGTTCCTGAAAAATCACTTCCATGAAAATTTTGCTTTTTATCGGGATCACGCTCTTTGACCTATTTGTTATTTGTATTTAATGGTATTTTTTTAAACTCTATATCGAATGTCTCCAGAAGCTCTTAAAAAATTGTGACTTTCACAAATTTCGACATTTTTTATCACGAAAACAGTGTTTCCAGACATTCCTCTATATGACTTTTTTTATTTGGACCAATTTTAAATTTGGCCGATCAATCCTGAAACTTATTTAAAACATATGTTATGACCTGCATCTTTACTTCGGAATTTTGATCTCTTTAGTTACTGTTTTTTTTCTTCGTCAGGAAACGGATACATCCCCACCACCTGCCTCCGCGAAATCCTGAGAGAACTAGACGACCAACTGACGGACAGAGAGCTAGACATGATGATCGAAGAAATTGACACCGATGGTTCTGGAACGGTCGACTTCGATGGTAAGCCGATAATCACCCAGCACCAAAATAACCTTTCTATTTATAAGACCTTTGCGATACCCGGTGGAAGAGATGGATGTTTTGCGTCACTGTAATTTGTTCCATTTAGTTTGTGATTCTGGGGAGTAGGAAATGTATTTATAGAATTTGTAGGATATACAACGCGATTATTCCATCAATTCACTTGATAACCGTCAAGTGGGAGGAGGCCATATATTTTATATATTCAAAGCAAAAGATCGGGACTTCATAAACTTTAACCGACTAGCAATTAGCTTATTTCGATTTAAATTTATGTCGGTAAACCTGTCTAGCAAGTCTACACTGATGGAAATGGGCCATTTTCGGGCTGGATTTCCTGGTCCAGTTATTGTTTTAACAATTTTTAATTTTACCGAAACTTAATTGCCAAATTCACTAATACATGTAATGCAGGAGTAATTACATAAATATATTTGTGGCGAATTTACGAACAATAGAATATATTGAAAAATTGTGTATTGCCAAATATCGTCTATAATCGTACTGATTTGTGTTAATACCGCGATACGACTATAGAATCCGTCATTTTAACCTCAAAAAAGTTATAAATTAAAATATATAAGGATTGCAAACTAACAAACACCCTGTATAGCATAAAATCTAATCAAATCAAGTTATTTAAAATCTTAAAATATGCCCTCCAAATGTCAATAGATACGTTGATTACTTTGACAAAATTAACAAAATTAACAAAAAAATTACTTAATTCACTGTACCTTAAAAAAAAAAGATGATGGGATCATAGCTACTATTTTTAACATTCTGAAACACCAGTGGCGGCTCGTCGGGTGACGCAAGTGACGCACCGCTTCACCTAAAATTTCCGTTTGGTTGTGCAATTTAAAATTATTTTTAATTTTATATAAATTTTATAATTTAGGTATAATTCTATATTGATATTTGTTTTGTACCAGTAATTTGTAGAAATGTTTCCTATGCACGATCATGTATGTATTTTATTGGAAATGCCATTTTCCAGATGGAAAATTGAGGACAAAAAAGATTTTTTAAATTGCGAAAGACCTGTGCCTTCTCTCGATGTGGAAAAAAGGGGGAGGTTAAAAGACAAAGTGTATGTTCGGAAGTTTCGGAATGAATGGTATTTGGAGTATAAGTGGTTGTGCGGATGTTTTTCAATTACTGATATTCTTTTTGATATGTTACAGAAACGCTCACTAAATATTAATTATTGTATGTCACAAATTAAAAATACCCAGAAACTTTTACGTGAAAAAAGAAACGAGAGGAATTTTAAAGAAATATTTGAATTAGGAAGCATAAAAGTGCCAGTACCAGTTAATTGTCGTGATGGACGAAAAACTTTGACAGTTACTAAAAAATTTTTTTTAATACGTCAGTTTTTCGGTAATATAGCAAATGCAACTAAAATTTCCAGATTCATTTAAAGCCGTTTGACCTTGAAAATTTTCGCCTGCGGCGCTTTTTTTTTAATCAATCAATAAATATGCTTCACCTATTTTCAATGTCACGAGCCACCACTGTGAAACACCCCATATAAAGCGTTGTAGAGTAAACAGCGCGGAGATTTAAAATAAGCAATAGTGTAGAAGAAAGTTACGATTATAATTATTTTCATTTTCAGAATTCATGGAGATGATGACAGGGGAAGTTTGAGAGGATGTTTACTACTTTCGTAATTTAAGAACTTTGTACCTTTACTCAATAAAAATAAGAGTGCATTTTTTGTTATTAAAATTTAATTTAATATCATATAAACAGAGAACAATGTTACATAAAAAATATTTATTTTAATTACAAACTATTTATATAATTTATTAAATAAAATATAATATTAAAATCTTAAGTGTGTAGTTTATTTTGTACCTTCAAGCGTCTTAGAATATAAACAGTGTTTAAAATTAGACAACCCTTCGTAGAATACGTTTCCTTATTTTAAGTTTACGACACATATACACAGATACGAATTGAATAGAGGCCGTTTTAACCCCTGCTCGGTTACAATTACAAGTTAATTTTCAAATTTCAAAGATATTTATATCCACATTTTGACACTTACATGTACTTTCCTAAATATTTAACGATTTGTGAAATACACAGAAATGTTAATATAACAAATAAATAATACGTGTTCGACATTATATACTTTGAGCGTTTTGAGCTTTTATAACACTTAGGCATAAATAAAATTATGCATAAAAAACCTTAATACTATCGTTTCCTGCTGAAAATCGCGGATTATTAGGAAGACCTGTTAGAGTAGTGACTTTTCACATTTAGAGAGATGGTTTTTGAGTATTTCTTGGATTGGATAGGTAAGTGGGTATATACATATTGGAAAAAACTAACCACTTTTCAATTTTTATAACTGTCAGGATATACGGAAATCTTGCACGACAACCTTACACAAAGAAGATATCTACATCTACATTTTTAATAACTTCATTTAAAAAATAATGATACCTACATTTTTATAATAGTTTTTTATTTTTTCGTGATTAATTAAAATCATACATGTTTATATTTTTGGCATCATTAAAACTGAGTCAAGTGTAGATGACAGAGGTTGACTAAATTAGAGAAAAATTTGTGATTATATCTTTTCTTAGAAATAATTTAATCAACCCGTATTATTATTATTTTGGTTGTCTTATACAGTTAAAGAAATTCATGAACTACAATTTTCATTATATTTACTCGGTAATATATCAGTTAATAAATGATTTCAAGAGCATCAAGACCAATTTAAATAATGTTTAATGCTTTTTATTTTTTATTATAAACACGGCTATTATCTTCAAATCAGAATGTAACTAATTCACTAAAAAATTGTTGAAAAATTATAGCCATTCCTATTCTTAGTTTTTCCATGTTAATAAATTGACGACAATTTTGAGTTTTGCGCATGACAATTAAGATCCAAAAATGTATAAATTTCTTTAACTGTGTCCTTTAAATTTCTATAACTGTTTCTTCAAAATGGAAACTAATTAAAAATATGTGTGAATTACATTTAATAACAAAATATTTTATTATGTATACTAGTATGGGTATGTATTAACAAACAGCATCATATAAATTTTGTTGTGAATGCTAGGTATTTAGACAAATTTCCTGAGATTAAATTTTAAGAATAAAAATATTTTCTAGTGCTGTAAGCAAAAATACATGGTGTTTCATAAAAATGCATCATAGACCCTAGGACAAAATGATATTAAAAAAACAAGATTTTTTCGAAAATGAAGCAGTTTAGTTAATTTTGATAAAAATAGTACATTCTTTGTATTATTAGAATTAAAACCAGTGGCGGCTGGTGCAGGAGACTTTGGGGCACCGCCCTTCTTAGAAATTTTTACAGTAAAAATTTAATTTAAAATTTAGTTTACAATGTTATCTAGGTAATTAAATAGATATTAACCTTATGAAACATATTAAAAATGAAATATTAAATTTGTAATTAGCAATAAATCGCCCCTAAATCTGTAGTGTTTACAACGGTGGTCATGGTTGCTATCGCCCAGCAGTGAAAGGCGGAGTGGGAGTAGCGCATACTTTCTATGCAGTTTGGGCTCTATTTAATCCGCCTTAATCAAATAATAGCTCTTCGCCGCTTTTTTTATTAAACGTATTTGTTTACGTGTTTACGTGTAAAATGTTGTCATCTATGTATTATTTCTTGTGTGTTTTTTAAAAGATTGTAAAAGTTAAAATTGATTGTGAAGACAGACTAAGTGCTATTAAAAAATCAATGGTGCGAAAAATAACAAACTTTAATGAAAAAGTAATTGGAGTTTATTTCGGACAAAAGCAGACTTTCGCAATAAAAAAATACATTGAGTACATTTTCCTTATATTTCAATAGTACTTAAAATAAAACTACCTAATAATATTTTTTCTCAATACTTTGTACCTACATTTTTTCATTCTCCCAGAGCCGCCTCTGCTTAAAACCTAGATATAAGAAAACTTACTAACAAACCCGAACTGTATCAAAAAAATGGTGACCAAAATATTCCAGCATTGTAATAAAATATACCCCACGCGTATACTAATAATCAGGTTATTTAAGAAATTTTAATACAATTTCTCATTTATTAACAAAAAATGATAAGGCAATTATTCTTAGAAAAAAATAATCGTATATTTCTATTACGTGTGGTCCTTGGATTTATGATACGTTTTTCAAAAAGATCCTGTATTCAAGGTGTTCCGATTTATAGGTGTACGGAATACTAGGTTTCCTTAGAGGATATAATTTTTTTAAACTGTTGTGGCGATTTTTACCCACAGTTTAACAATACCATCTTCATTTTAAAATTTGTAGTAAATGTGTGTAAAATTTCTGATATATTTTTATCAATATGATTATCTTAATTATTTCTTGTTTTATTCATTTATATTTTTCTCAATTAACATCGAAAATATAGAGCAATTTACACGATTTATTTTTTTATAAAAAATTTATTTTTAATAGTAAGCCATAGTAGGCCGTTGCGACAGATATAAAATAACATGTTAAATTAGATTTCGGATAAAAAATCAATAATACAAAGTTTCAGAAATTGATGGCCTTCCAAACAAAAATCGTAGTGACATAGGATTTGCTATATTGAGGAGATTATTAGTTTCCAGAAATGCGCCTATTTATGACCCATTTGTAAAAAAATATTTGACCTTCACTTATTTTTTATACTATTTTCGTACATTTACCATGGGCGTAGCAGGGGGGGGGGGGCAGGGGTGTGCACGGTCTTTTAGATTAACATTAAAACGTGTTCAAATTTTATATCGATAAGTCGCTCAGCTTTTTTTTCTTAGAGGTAAAAATTGTAGCTACGCCCATGACATTTATTTGTACTTGTACTAGGTAGCCTTGTACATTTATAAATCGGAATTGTATGTATGTACTCAACAAAGTTTAAGCAGATATGTCTTAAATATGCGAAAGAAACATGCAATGTTACTATTAAAGTCCCTAGATATTGACAAATTAAGTACCGCAGTCAACTGATACCGATGCCATCTTGAGGCAAACCCTTGTTACCAACCTTATGAGAAACATGAGTTTGAGGTTTCAATACATTTTTTAGCGATTATTTTCCACATTATTTTGAATAGTTTATTAAACTATACCCCAGTATTTACATCTAAAATTCTACAACAATTAAATTTTGATAGTTTTTTTTATATAAATAGCACTACCACAAATTGACATACTTAAGTCAAACCGCTATCTTAGGGCAATCGAAAACAATTGATTGCAATAGGTAATTTGGTCAATCCATGGGCTTTACTTGTCAAATCAAAGTCAAAGCAAATGTTTGTCCTGGATCCTGGATCGCAGTGCCCCCTGGATCCTAACGTTTGTAGGCCGTCAGGATCCAGGGGGCACTGCGATCGACGCCCTTAAATCCGACAAATTACACATATTTGTCATTATCATTTATCACTTATATTATCCTGATTTAACAGTTTAAGTAACAAATTAGGTACTTCTTTTTGAGAGGGCTTTCTAAGATCTAAGTTTGACGGCATAAAGTCCCGATATTAATAAAGTACCGCAACTAACCGCCATTTTGGGGCAAAATCTTTATTACCAACCTTAAAATGTTAATTTTCTAATATTTCAGTATGTATGTTCGTGTACAGAGTAATAACTCAATATTTTACTGGAAAATACAACAAACAATTAAGTTGGTAGTATATTAACATAAATAGTTCCTAAATTTGAAAAATTTAGAGAGAAATATTAGAAACAAAAAATGACATTTGTCAAACCGTCATTTTGAGACAAACGATAACAATGAGTTGCGGCACTTGTTTAATTTGAAGATTATGACGGCATTGACTTTCGCTGTCCCCTGACCGCGTACGGCGTAACTGTAGGCAATGTCAACCCTCTTGACCTTTATATCTTAGCGTTATTAAAAATATATTTATAAATTTATCCACAACAAATAATAAGCAGCTATCAATAGATTTTTACTATAAGGAATATCATAATCACCACAGAGGTTAGCAAATACCAACAAAAAGTTAACATTCATAATTTTCATTTCAGATGAGACCCTATATCCTACGCTTTAAACTTGAGAAACTTGATTGGTATTTAATGAAATGCATCGTGATGGAGAAATTTGAACGCGTGTGTGAGGAAACATAAAATTTGCATAAACATGTGCGAAATTTGTATAGCCAACGCCACCTACGATTCGGTTCAATCTAACCTCAAAAAAGTAGTTCCCGATAAATCTATTTTCAACGTGGAAAAATTATTAGTACCTAGATATTTTGTTGAACTTTATAATAACGGGGAAAGGTATGTAGAATGATAATATCAAAAAATTAACTCAAAAGAAGTGACGTTAAGTTGGCAAATTTCAAATAAGTGGCAAATTAATGTATTTTTTCACTTTTTTACTGCCCACGAAAATCTAGAATTCATATTTCATCAATTTGTTAACTGTCAAATGTTAAATGCGGAAAAATTAGTTTTCGAATATTGCGCATTATTATTGAAAAATACGATGGATGTCGTTATTGAAATTTATGAAGACGATTAATCCGAAGACCAACCTGACCAGCATGTGTGTCCAAAGGCCTATTCGATTGACCGTGAAATTGTTGCTACAGGTATGTTCGTTCGTTTTTTTACAACTATTTGTTTAATTACTAAACGTTACCTAATTTTAGAAGTTGATATTGCAAATATAGGTAAATATTATCCAAAAAACGTATTTTCAAAAAGTTGAAATTAAGTTGCCATTTACAACTAACAAATTAGGACATGCAAAACAGCGTTTTAAACAAATTGTCCCAGGGTCAGGCAAAAGCCGCTCGGGAATTCGCTCTTTTTACATTAAATAGAGCTTATTTTTATGGTAGGTGATTTAAAAGAAAAGAAATCACGTACGCCTCTTCGTTCCCAAGAGCTTTTTTTATAACATTTGTTAATTAACTATTGGACGTATCAGACCGGGATTTTAAAGACAATTAAAGAAAGAGTTAAACTTTTATTTTTAGAAAGTTTTACATTGATAGTTCATGTAATAAACGCGCTAATAGCAGAAAAAGTTACCGATAATCAAAAGCCTGCACGCGACAGGAGCGCCGGGCCCGCGCATGCGCATGAACGTCGCTCTCGATCGCGCGCGACGTTTTTGACTTGAACGTTTCAAATTCTGTTCATAATTTCGTTAATAATTTTTTCATGTTTGCAGGTGTTATCATCTAATTCGAATGGAGTATTACAATGGATTCATTATTCTGAGAACAAAAAAACCAACCTACAGATTTAGCAATCGATGGGTCAGACAGAACAGTTAAACAAATGATTATTTTTTAAGGAAATTAACAAGAAAGTTGACGACACAATTAAACCATGGAACAACTTACCGAGAAGCAATTAACACCAAAGAAAACCTAAACTATCACACTAAAATCCTTCAAAAGACTGTTTATTATAGACCACTGATATTCTCTATAGTACCAATCACCTTTAATAAAAATAATTATGTATCATTCCCCTGGAGCAAAATCAAACTAAAAAAAATGCAAAGAATATAATGAACATATAAAAAAATATAAAATATAAACAGAAATAAAATATCACAAAAACACAAAGCAAAGAATATACATATACGTGCGCCTCTACTTAAATAAATGTGGGAATTCATTGGATATATCTTTGACTAATTTTTGGTCGTATTTGCTCATATCACTCTCCTCACAAAATATCCTGGTGAAGCATTTCAGGATTTCATCGATTTTGTGTTTGTGTTCTTCATAATTCGTGTTCCTCATAACTCTTCTGCATAGCTCAAGATATTGCTGCCTCCTCTAAAAAAAAGTGGTCAGTAAAATCAGAACTTAACAAAAACTCAGTGTTAAAGACCTGATCCCCTGGTGATAAATCGGAAATATTCCGAACGATAATATCAATCAAAACCTTTATGTCGTTAGTATAGAATAAACTCGCCGTGGACCTTCGACTAAAGAGGTCGTTAAACAATTTCAAAAGAGAGTGAGGTGGAGCAGGTTCATGGTCAAAAATCCTTACAGGATCCTCTAAAAATGTCCAAATGTATACGTTACCTTATCACGTAAATACGAAATACTAAATACCTTCTCTATTTATAAGCAACAGTATTTTTTCTGTGAAGGTCTTTGCGACATCCCTCTCCTCTAGTGCGGACAATAAGGGATTTTCCAACTCATCGGTAAACTGAAGGTTAAATGATATAATCAAATTTAAAAAGAGGTCCGGAATTTGTTCATCCAAGTCTGTATCTGGCGGATATTCTATGTTGTCTAACACGAAAGCGAGGAAGCGCTTTCCAAGAAATTCTAAAATATAAAAAAAAATCACGATACAGGGTGCCACATAACACTGGCAAAAATGGCATACTCAAATTTAGATCTAACAGATGTATTAAATAACAAACAAAAAGTATCAATTTTCATAAAACTGCACGTTCCGAACAATAAATCCCAAACTTTTGTAGGCATTAATTACCACAATTTCAATATGCTTGACAAAAGATAATTTAAGGTCAAAATATACGCCCAAATCTTTACCAAGATCAGGTCGTTGAAGGGCAAACCCTTTCAGACTATACTCATACTGAATTTGATCACATCGTCGACTAAAAGTCATGACATTACATTTGGTAAAATACAGAGGTAGCTTATTAGCAATGCACCAAGAGTTAATTATATCTACATTACTTTGGAGATTCATGGCATCAAATCAATTAGAGAAAATATTATGTCATCGGCGTACAACAAATAACGCACATTCAGCTGAGAAGTAATATCATTAATAAATAATGCAAACAACATGGGACCAAGGATAGAACCTTGTGGTACACCTGATGTCTGGGCAAATTCAGTAGATTTAACACCAGAAATTTGAACAAACTGAGTTCTGCCAGTGAAATATGAATTCATTAGTTCAAGAAAGTCTGACGATAGTCCAAAGGTGCTTAATTTATATATTAATTATATTAATAGTCCATGGTCCATAGTCCATAGTCGAGACGGTCAAACGTCTATTTTGAAAAATAATAATTTTTTAATAAAAAATTATTTGTAATACATTTTTACTTCTAAAAAATTAAATAAGCCATGTCAGGAGCGACAATATTTTTTTTACGGAAAGACAAGACAAAAAAAAATATTTAGAAAGTTTTTGGTAATTTTCAACACAATCCACCAACTTCAATATTATTTTACTTGACAATTGTAAAATAAGAACGGATCACTCCAAATTTGCTAAATGCAAATACTTTTAATTTTCAAAAACTTTTCAATAAAATTATTCAATATTTTGTATGAAAATCTTTATATACACTGAATCATGCAAAAAGTTACTTGAAAGTGACTTATTGCTATTTTTAAGCAAAAAAGTTACTCTAATAACTGCTTTTTTAAAAAATAATAAAAAATGATCTCTTGATTTTTTTGGCATAGTTTTTATCTTTTGTCACAAATTAATGAACCGTAAATGTGACATATTTAGATAGATATTGAATTAATTAAAATTTTTACAAATCTTTGTTCAAAATGACATCTCCGTACCTCAATACATTTTTTGATACATATTTTTGCATATCCTCTTAAAGATTTCTGCATTGCTGATAAAGTTGAATTCTTTTTTTAAATCTTTATAAGTTGCAGATTCGTACCAAATGGTAATGGCTAAGTATCTTCAATTTGTCAATATTCAATTCAATATTCAGTTCAAATTTAAACCGTCAAAGCTATTAAAACAGAAAATAAAAGTTCAGAAGACGTTAACAACCTTTTTAAAATGCACGATATTAACTTACGTGTTTTTGTATTTTCTACTTGTCTGTTTTTTTCAGTTTGAGATTTTTTGGTTATGCAAAGTTACTTTCATAAAAATAACCCTTGATTGATCCATTTGGCGCAAGCGTTTATTTCAAATTTTCTAAATTTTTTCACAGGTGGCAAAATACCCAAAAAATAATTTATCCATATATAAATATTTACAGCTTCTTTTAAGAAAGTTAACAAACCATGAAACTTGAGTAGATAGAATAAATAAAATAAAATATATTCTCAATTCACTTCCTGAATGATTAAAATAAAAAACGACTCGGTTAAAAATAAATTGCACTATTATACAACTATTCTTCCTTTCACATAAATTCTAATTAATATTTATGACCTTAAATTAATTAAGAAACTTTTAACGAATCCTCACCATAATGCGTCACGGGCATTGGTTCCCCCATAGAAAACACCATCGTTAACAGCAAAGATGAATAATTCAATTTAGGAATGTTCCTCGGATTTGTCATGATGTCTCTACGATAAAATATTCCCCGATTTATTTAAACAGTAACAAAAAAAAAGAATACTGACCTTGCTAATTCCCCGGGCAAGACAGAATTCAGCATAATATTTATGACCGTCTTATCCAAGCTGCAGAGCACACCGAAAGCTTGTAACAACAGCTGCCTAATGGACCACCTAACTTCCATCTGATAATACTGGATTAAAGTGGTAATAACGTGATATTGATCGGAAGATATGACGTGCCTCGATATACTCGCATCTGCGTTGGACTGCAAGAAACGACATTAAGAAACACGGGATGATAACTGCATCGCATCGAAAATCTAGTTACCAATATAGAAATGAGTTCGGTAATATACTCCTTAATAACGGCTTCGTCTTCGTGTAGCATCCAGCTGCGTTGTTGGGAGTCCTCCTTACATGAAGTCAGTTCGTTAAAAATTATTTTCAATCGACTAGCGTCGTGGGTTTGATCAATCTGCACGTCATCGACTAGAGTAGTTTGTGTGTGGGACAGTATTGTGCTTAAATAGGGGAACACAGAGGCCGGCAATAGTTCATGCAATCCTTGGACTACGGTTACCACAGCTATACGCGACATCTCGTGTGAGAGTTGGGTGTTAATTCTGACACTTTCTACTAATTCGTATACCGACTGATGTGTTATGGCAGGAGAGGTATTACTAATCGTTGTGGAAATGTTAGAATCAGACTTTTTGTGATCATATATTTCAGACTTAACTTCTTCGTGAATATTCTCAATCGATTTCCTTACGGATTCCCTACTAAAACCTTTCTGTATGGGCTTTATAGGCTCTTCCAAAATGGGTCGAAAATTTTGCGCATCTGACAAATTGAAAGTATAAAAGTTTGATGTGGAGATAGGTTTAATCGTTTCTAACTTACCATCCGAGTTTTTAAAGAGTAATGGTGGCATATCATCGTAATCTGCACCGATGGAATTTCTGGAGATTTCAGGTAACTGTTCCACTTGTCTTTTCATTTCTTTTAATCTACTAATGATTTCATTCCTGTCACCAATAGTACATTCCGATGGCACATCACTTTTCCTCAAATGCCCTATGCAGTTCTCCAGAAATTGTATGTAAAAGGAAGGATTTACAGTAACCGTTTCCACATAATTTGATGGTATGTATCCCATTTCACCCCTTTCGTTTATAACTTCCCACCAGTTTTTGTGTTTCGTGTTAGTTTGGTGCAAGAGGAAATATTCATTACTCTTAAAGCTTAAAGTTTTGGCATATGTTGCTTTGAAGTCATATAAACTATGTAACATGTCCAAATTACCTAATAATTAGTACAATTTAAGATGTATTAATTATTCAAAACATTTTGAAGAAACTAATGTCTAATTTTATGCTATTTTTCTATAATTTGGAAAAAACTTACCTGTTAAAATTATATTCTGTGACATAATGTAATTAGTGTATAATTCTTAATTTACAAATTTCTTAAAGAGAAAGTATTTGAAAATTCACTGTCACACCTATTTTTTGTTTATATTTGAAGATCACTAGTGCCTCCATCTTGCGGGGTTATAGAAAACAAATACAAAAACAGCTGTGCCAACTGCCAATGCAGCAGTGCTACCAATAGCAAAGATTCTTTTCACATCGAAAAATGTTGACGTAAATTTTTTGAAATTTGTTTGCCTTCTAATGGTCGTATGATACTATGCTAAAATTAGAACTAATTTCAGCCATACGATCTTAAGGTTCTACAAATTTTTTATTGGAGCATGAATAGTTGTGTTCATTTATGAACATTTTTAGGTATTAGAGCTCGTTTTAGAAGTTTTTTTTTGATTTGCAATTAATGATATTCTTAGTATGTGCAGGATATTTTTTAAACTCGGTGGGGAAATTTAAACCTCTTTTGTCAAAATTTCATTGCATTGTTTGTAAATCTTTAAACAAAAATGTAAAATCGTTTGAAATTCAGAAGCAAACCGTGGATCCTAAACGGACCGATCTATATATTAATATGTCAGTGGTTTTCAGCGAGTTGAAAAGCAACCAGTAATACAGATGTGTGCGCTGAAAGCGTACTGTTAGCAACTTTCAGTTCTTCAGAATGTATCCATTTATTTTGACATTTTATTTGTCTAATAGACAATTTAATAATTGACGTTAAGTGAAAAATCGCGATTGTGCTTGATGTCAGTGTAATTAATTAGTTACGACACACACACACGTTTACTACTTAATTATCAAATCATTATTATTACATTTACAACATGGTAGATTATGAGAAAGAAGAAGTTGTAAATTTGGTAAGAAATTGTTTTTCATTTAAACATTTGTATGGTTATGTGGGTCAATTGATATTGATTTATAATATAAAAAGTTGTATAAAAATTTTAGCAGAGAGAATTTGAATGGGTGCTACATGAAGAAATTCACAAAGGACTAGATCAAATCCATCAAATACTTGTGGTAAGTTTCTCAATTCTATAAAAAATTTTTGTCGCAGATCAAAACGTCTTTGATTTCAGGAATGTGCCAGACGTTTCCCAGTGGCTTTGTATGGACATGACAACTCAAGTAAACAGGACAAATTTGTTCTGACTGTCCCAGTTGATCAATTAAAATGTGTTGTTACGCTTACAGGTGATAGCATTACCCATGCCGTAAGTAACTCGCTGGACATAGTTAAAAGTGTATGAGTATAAAGTGGTCACATTTTAGGATATTAACTTTAAAGTGACAAGACAAACAAATACTACTATGGTTCGTACCACGATCCATAATGAAAACCCCTGGAAGTTGCAGCAAGTACAAGATGCGGCAAATCATTTGCAGCAAGCGATTTATCACATAGACGACGTAGGAAAACATTACAAATTTAAGTAAGTTTTATTTTAAATCACTGATATATTTGAATCTCGTGCTCTACTCTCCATCACATTTATATCCACACAATTTGAAAGTAGGTTCAGAATTTTTTACTGCATTTTTTTCTATTTCCAATTTACTTAAATCACAAGTGTTGCACTGATTTTGTTATGATTTAATGCCACTTCTTATAATTATAAATTAAATATACTTGTATTTTAATATTTAACTAGTCCTGATTGAGATTTGAGATATAAAATTATCGTGCATTTGCAAAAGATTAATTTGAAGATGATTTATAAGATAAGTCACGTTTTCCTAGAATGTTTTCTGTGTTATTATTTATATAAGGATTATTTAGGGATATTCTCACATTTTTCTACTAAATTTAAATTTTCTAAGTCTTGATATAATTTTTAGTTAGCAATCATTCCATACAATTTTTTTTATAATTGTTAATTCCCTTACTAAGAAACAAAATATTCATTCTCATAAAAATATTAATCGTTTATTGTTACTGTTATGTAAGTTATAAATTTATTGCCAGTGTTATGCCATATATAAAAAAATTTTGATTAGATAAGAATTTCATTCATACTTAGGGATGTTTATTATGATGTTTGCACTTGGTATAGTGATCGTAAAGACCTTGGTATAACGATGGCTCCTAAATGAATTGTAGATCATCAGATGAAGTTTTACACATATTGGGCAATATTCTGGACAGCTTACAAAGGGGACGTACTAGCTTGATAGTGCCCAGAAAGAAAACCATGGACGATTTACAAAAAAGTCGCAATATGGTATGCATCTCTCGTTAATTTAAATATGTCGACTTTTTTCATTGTTGATCACACACACTTTCAGAAATCTTTGTCTCCGCCTCTGTCCGAGGACCTAGCAATAAGCTTTTATATCCAAAGCCATAAATTAATCTTCGCTATCTACCAGTTGACGAGTAACCATGGCGTTATGAAATATGACTCGGCACACGCAGAATGTTCTGTACCCTGGTTAAATGAGGTGCTGGTCCTTTTCACTGTTGGACTGCAACTGTGCCAACAACTAAAAGACAAGGTAACGATAATGTTTTATTTTCTTAAAAACCAGATGTTTTGGGGCAAATATTAACAAAATATTGCTTTAACGATTAAAATTGCTCCTGTTACTTCCTACCTTGATTACTGCAGAATTTGCTGCATGATTGATGATGAGCGTTATACAGGGTGATTCAGTCATAATGTCATTAATTTTAACCACGTATTCGGAAAGCTTAATAAAGACAGAAAATCGGAAAAAAAAATTTTTTACTCGACTTTTAAAAATGAAGGAAATCAACCCATAACTCCCGCTACGAGGGCTGCCCTGCCGATGCCCGGATGCTCGGAAAATTTTGTAACGTAATGTCACGAACAGTTGTCGGCTAAAGGAACAGCGTTGCCAAGTTCAGGTTCAAGCTCGCCAGGTTAGTATTTGACATATAACCGACCACTTCGTACACTCGATGCACCTGGGCGACTACAGCTACTACGAAAACAGCCGGTATTTTAGATTTTAAATTAAATTTGTTGATACGATTTTCCTTTGATAAAAGACCGACAACTTTTTGCTACTACACTCGTATTAGTCTAGGGGCTAGGGGCCAGATAGGTTTCCGTAGCCAAACAGAATTCCACGGCTGCAAATAACTTATTTTTAAGTATTTTGACTTCTCGAAACCAAAAAACTTGGTGGCAAAGCCTGAAAGTGGTCAGTTTAATTGTTGTTAACAAATTGAATGTTTAAATGGCTGTAAAAAGTTTATTTTTATAGCTAGTACAATTTTTTATCTGTTAATTATTACGTTTTCTCACAACAAACATATATTTTTTTGAAAATTAAAAAAAGATTAACTTTAACCAAAGTTATTGCAAATTTAGTGCAAATATATTACATTTTCCGTCTCTGCGCGCACCAATTTTACCATATCTCTGGTTCAATTGGACGGATTGAGACGCACATCTCATTTTAAAACTTAAACTTTATTTTACAAGATAGGTAAGTTCCATTGATTAATTAATTTATTTAAAAATTAATGGCAGCTTAGAAAGTTGTGGAATTTCAACGAAAATGTTGGCTTTATTGGTTTATAAAACTTTTTTTGTTATTCAATTTTTATGAAAAGCCAAAAAAGTTACCGGTTATTGTTCCTCGCATCCTAACAATGATTTCATGCCTTGCTTGATTGTTAGAATGCAAAGAACAATATCCGGTAACTTTTTTGGCTTTTCGTCGAAGTTGAATAATAAAAAAAACCTTATAAACAATTAAAACCGGCATTTTCGTTGAAATTTCACAACTTTCTAAGATGCCATTAATTATTAAATAAATTAATAAATAAATGGAACTTAGAACCAGATATGGTAAAATTAGTGCGCACGGAGACGGAAAATGTAAGAAATTTGCACTAAATTTGCAATAACTTTGGTTAAAGTTAATTTTTTTTAATTTCCAAAAAAATACATATTTGTTATGAGAAAACGTAACTATTAGCGAATAAATTGTACTAGCTATAAAAATAAACTTTTTACAGCCATTTAAACATTTAATTTGTTGATAACAATTAAACTGACCACTTTCAGGCTTTGCGACCAAGTTTCTTTGGATTCAAGAGGTCAAATATTTAAGAATAAGTTGTTTGCACATCTGGCTCCTGGACTATATGGTGCACGTGTGCAAATTAAAACTGGGTTAAAAGGTTACTGAACCACAGGTTACCCTAGGTCGGAAACACGACGTACCGAGTTGTTTATTTGTCTCCGTCCCATTGTTTTTTTATGGAATATACAAGTCTCTCTTCTAATTGCAGTCAATATTTAAATACTGCATACAATTTATCCTCTCTTTATAATTTATCTAGTGAGTGTTGGTTTTTTATGACATTATTTCTGTAACGAAATTGAAATGGTTATGAAATGAAATTTAAATTATTTGAACTTTTGGGGTTTTGTAACTTCAATATTAAATCTTATTTAAAGTGAAACAGCTAATTTCTTTGCAGCCATAATAGTCACATTTGGTCAGATGAAACACACTACTACCCGCACACTACTCGTCGGTGGTATAGCTTTCAGAGGAGATTCGGTGTCAATGTCAATGGCGATCGTTTAATTGGGCCGCATTTTCTACCTGAACATCTGAATGGGCCGCGTTACTAATTTTTAGTAGAATTGTTTGAAAACCTTCCCCTTCGGGCTTACAGCAAATGTTGTTAAAATATTAAAATTATGATGCTAATAAAAACTGATTTTTGGCAAGGCATGCTCAGACCTCGAGGTTCTTGCTGGGCAACAATAACAATTTAATATGTTGATTGCATAAATAAAAAATAATTTATAGCATTTTAAATTATTATTGGTTGACGTGAGCAAAACCGTTTATTTATTGTCTTTATATGAGCGAAAATATATAAATATGGCAACGTTGCATCTAGGGCGCGTTGTTCATAGGTTCATATCGTAGCCGTGCATAATATTGTGACGTCAGCCGGTCAGTAACAGCCTGAAAAGGGGGTTAAATAATGATTTGAAAATATTTTTTTTCAGCTTAAATATGCATTTAAATTTTTTTTTAATCACGCCATCGTATTATACTCATTTTTCTCTATCTGCTCTTAAAATTAATGACATTATGACTGAATCACCCTGTATACACGGGTGATAATAAATTCAGGTTTACTAAAGATATTTATTTATTCGTGATTAAAATTTTATAGATAAATTGATAGACATGTCGATACCTACATTTTTAAATCTTGAGAACATTGCAATTTATAATCAAGGTATGTGGAGGTACTTTAGATAAAAATTATTTTTAAGCAGTACCTGAGAATAAGAGCAGAAGATAAGGGAATATCTATTCATATAAGTTAAACTTTTGAATGAAATCAACTTACATAAACCACTTCTCTATATTTTTTTCTCTTTAGCAAATAAAGGCCGTTTTTCATATTTGGACGTGTTTTATGATGTTATTGAAAATTTGGTTATGCTGCCTAACTAGCACAACTCCAGGGTCTCAAAATTTCATTAATTTATAACGGACCTGCTATCAGAACCTCTAGGCCCGCACTGATGTTCAATTGCGTTCTTGTTATTGGTTCTAAGGTCGCAACTGAGAGTTCCGCTCCTTAGACAATGGCGCTCCTGTGATAGGTGACTCAGTTACAGAAGAACTGAGGAAAGTTCAGGGAACCACCATTGTGTCAGGAGCACTTCCGTCCACAACGGCCTTAGAACCAACAGCAAGAACCAAAAAGAACATCAAGGAGGGCCTAGGGGTTGTAATCGTGGGTCCGCCCTTACAGAGCTTAGCCCGAGAGCAACCAAAGAAGATAAAAGATTCCTAGCGAAGGCTAAGGAGGTGTAAATAAATTCATAACATTTAAGATACTGAAATTTAAAATTTAAGTCATGTTAATTAAGATTTTTTATAAAAAATCACTTCAAAAAAAATCACAGACCACTATACATAAAATAAATAATTGGAATTGCTGCTGCTGTGTACAGGGTGTAACTCTGAGTGGAGGTTATATTTATACAATTATTCACTTGACCTTTAGATACATGTATCAATAGTTTTTTCAAATATTTTTTTTATACCTTTTTTTAGTAATTTTCGTACAACGCTGCTGGAGAAGCTAGTGTAACCTCAAATAACGGCACGCTTTAGTCACAGCACATGTACAATTCCATACCATTCACCACGAGTTACTTCTATTGAGGGAATATGCTCGCCACACAAACGGTACTTAACAAGTAACCTAGCAAGCAGTAATTAGTAATGATAAATGAAATACACAAAGATAAATAGTCCATTGATGGCTTCTAGTAATGAAAAACATTTAAATTCACAGTTAAATGTACTGTCTTCAAATGCGGAATAACAACTGACCCACACTATCTCCCTTCACATGCACTGTAGATTGCCTACAATTCATGTATTTGTAATACATGAATATTATAGTGGCGGCATACACAAGTATTAAAATTAATTTTAAAAAAATTGTTCGACTATTTATTTGATTAAAAAAAAAGGAATTTAATCTCTTAAATAAAGATGTAGAGAATCGGCTTGTAGCAGCAGCGTATTTATGTATCCTTGGAAAATACGAGAAATCTCTCAAAATTGGCGTACACTTAACTGTATTGTTGTGGTTAAAATATGTTTCTTTTCCAGATCTGCGTTTTCTCTCAATATAAGGATTTCACGGTTGGTTCTAGACCAGCCAGCCCATTGGCCTCGTAATCTCGAATTTTTTATCGTTTAACTAAAATCGTAGCTATTATGATATTGTCAATTTCTCTTTAGTTTTTGTTTGTAAATATTTTAGAGGTGTAAAACAAGCCGTACATAGTTTTAGTTAAGGTCTTAAATATATTTGTTGATATATTATTTATTTTCCTTAGTTGTCATAGAAAAATAAAACTAACAGTGGTTTTAAAAGCAATACTTATTAATGGAGGACTAGGTACGGTAAGAGCTTGGCTTTAAGTTAGTTTAAGTTCGATTTTAATGATTTGAGTAAAGATCTAATAATTACATAATGTGTACGTATTTACTAAATACAGATACTTGTTGATTATCACTTTTTTATTTGCAATAATCCTGGTTTTAAGTTAAATCTCTTGGAGTTATTTGTATTGGAGTATTAAATTACATCTTTTTTATTAAAAAACTGAAATATAACAAAATACAAAAATTATTCAATTTTATTTTAATTAATTTGAAAATTAAATGTCTAAAGAAAAATTTTGGAATCCATATGCAAGGCGTTAGAAGTTTTACTGTCTTAATTTTAACAGACGATGGAATACATTAAACTAAACAAAAAAACCTTATATATGACATGGGTGCTAAACTCAACCATTTCCGAGAAAAAAATGATCAAAATCTACAACATCGATTAATTAAGGAATATTGACATAACTGTGTGCATAGAATATCATAAAATACAATGTTTATCACTTTTTTGAACTTCTTTATGCTTAATTCTAAAAAATAATTAGCATTGTAATAAATTTAAAATTCAATAAAATTCATATCGACCAGTGTGACAAAGGTGCGGCGGATACGAGGTACTAAGCTGTCCAACACTACGCAGTTCAGTTTGTATCTGGAATTGGACCATGTCGGGGTGTTTTTTGCGTACCACTATTTCCTTTTCTCGAGGTGTTTTCCAGCCAGTGCGCGAAAATTGGATTCGAATGTGCATCAAAAATGGTGGTGGACATTTTGAGGATACGTTGTAGTTTGTTTTGTACTTGTGCATTTAAAAATTACTGAATTTTGCTTTTTGGTAAGTACTTAAATAATTTTTAATACGTATGATTATTCGAATGACGTGAATTTTTGGATGCTTTTATTACATATTTTTCAAATTCATAATTTAATTAAAAATTAAGTTCCTATTTTAAGAGATTCATAATTACTAAAATTCGAGCTAAAATTTAAGCACAGCACTATATTCGTACTGTAAAATCGATACTATTTACTAAATGTTTCACAATAATAGTTTACAATTTTTCCGTAGGATAAGTCTGCCACGTACACACGTGGTACACACCAGCTGTGTAACGTTAGGTTAAGCGCTGTTGTCACGTTGTGATGAAACTCCCCAATATTAATACTCGCTGTAATTTGAAAACTGTTAATCTTACACCCTTGTAATATACAACTTTTTTGTTCGTTTCTTACACCTTGTATATTTCTGTCTAATTTATTCTAATAATATACAGAGAGTACTGAGACTGATACTCTGTGGTTTTTGTTTACGACAAAGTTGGCAATACTGTATTCAAAGCCAAGGTGTTGAGAGTGCTCATTTGTCTCAGTCAGTTAAGAACTGCTGTTGTAGTGGCGTGTTGAAATCAGTGCCGCTATTCCAAACCCAGATTCTTCTTGCAAAGGGGAAGGTTGGAACATCGTCAACCACCCCGCTCGCAGCCCTGACCTGGCCCTTCATAAATATATTACCATTTAGATTTTTTTAAAATTGAGGACTCTGTGGAAATATCTCGGATTCAAACTGTAACGACTTTTTAAATTAGAAAGAATGCCTTAAAAAAAAAGATTGGAGCATTGTATTTATTTTATTATTGCAGTCCTATTTTCAAAAAAAAGCATATTGTAGTTTTTTTTACTCAATTATTGTAATAAATTGCTTTTAAGGTAAGTATATTATACAGAGTGTATTTCATTGTGAATTTTGTAAAAACAGATTGTTCTTGTATGATTTTTCCATGCTACCACTAGGAAAAAAAAGTTCTGATTAAATTTAAAAACCAAAATTCCAAATTTAATTTTTTCATCCAATTAAATAAATCATTGGCTCAAATTTCATTAGCGTACATAAAACATCCGAAGATGTTTGATAAAATGTAATACGTTTATTTTCAATTTAAATTTTCTTTTAAAATTTGCTGCTTTGTCTAAATTGCAAAAATAAGTAAATTTTTACTGAAAACAAAGCATTCAAACCAAACTTTTCGTTTAAAATAATTTTTTCTGTCACCTGATGAAGTTTCCCAATGACTTCTAATTAGTTCTTTCTTTCAGTGTAGATACACTTCATACTGGACACACAAAATATGATTATTCTGATCTAGTTACACTATTTCAATTGAAAGTAATGTAATGTAATGTGTGTCTTTTAGAACTTCAGTGTTATTTTTTTATTTTTTTTTATGCTTTAAAAATGTCTGACGAACACATATCTTTTAGGGAAGACAAAGAAAATTTGCTGTATATTTACAGAAAAATAAAATTGGAACAGCTTCAATATGACGATCCTGCTCAGAGAGAATCCAGTTCATCTTCGGATTCCATGTTACCGTTAAATCTCTTTCAGTCCCAGATGGATATAAATGGTGCAGCTAGCAAAGAGATTGGGCCTGACAGTATCAATGATCCTGAAATGATTGCCAAGACAAAGCCGTTTGTAAGTTTTCCGTCTTAAAAATGTGCACGGCATTTGATCGTATACAAAACATTTTTGCTAGGATTTTGTGTGGTCGCACTGTATCAATTCTAAAATAAACATGATAAACCTGACAACGGCAGAGAGAAAGGGAATATTTTTTGCCAGCTCTCACTTACCAATTTTCTACAACTACTGTACGAAAAATATGAAGTGTCTGGAGGGACATGTAATTATTCATTATTTTACATAAGCCAGATTTTATTTGCTACATATTTTGATTGCAGCAATACCTGATAAGTTCTATATCAGCAGATGCATCTGGTCGATGGTTAGCCACAGCTGACGAAAATAAGGATGGCTGTGTTATAATTTGGGATAGTACCGAATTGTTAAGTGTTAATAAACAATAATAATACTTTTATAAGTTCTAGAGAACAAATATTTCCTTAACGATCTTTCGAATCTGCAGAATGGTTCGATTTTTGTGATACTTTAGAAATATAGGTAATCGAAAAATAATGATGTTTGTGGTAATATAAAAAACGTTTATGTCGAAATATTCTTCGATTGAAAAATGTGTTTCCAACCTTTAGTTTCGTATGTGTAAAGTTTCAAGAAATGGGGAAAAATGAAAATAACACCAAAACAGTGCAATAATGGGAAATTATTTTAATACGTGTGGAAATCTTTTTAACGCAACTTTAATTTCTGACATATTTTTATACTAAAACATTAAAACTACAGCGGAACACATTTTAAGTGAGACAACACTAGTTTCACACAAGTTTCTGTTGCATGCAATTATTTATTAATTTTTGTGTTTTTTCTAGTGGTGTATCAAGTTTTTTAATAAGGCACTCAATAAATACTGATAAAACTGAAGAAATAAAAATATATATTTAAGAACTGCAAGACAAGCTTTTTGACAAGAATATTGTTTAGCAATGAAATAGCAAATTAATTTCTTTTAGAAACTTTACATTGAACACATTTTTTGAAACTGATTAAGTATCATTCTTTTTTCATAATCTAAATGTTTCTAAAGTTTAATGAAAAAAAATCGAATCACCCTATTCCGAAATCTGAAAAGGACCCCTCAATTATCCTTACAGAAAACCGGTCCCAGTCGATGTGTCGATCAAAAAAGTCCATGAGACCTAGGTCTGAAAAACTACTGTTCTGAAGCTACAGCCTTCTGAAGTTATCGAATAGTTGCGAGGTCCTTTATTTTATAGATATTTTTTTCTCCTGTATTTTTTCCCTGTTAAGTAGATTACCTACATATAAATGTGCGATTGTTCTTTCGAAATATCAAGAAATCGTTCCCTGCTTCATAAATATTTGTATGGAATAAAATGGAGTTAATTTTATTGTAGTAAACCAGTTTATAGTTTATTCAATATTTATTCCATAAGCGGGATAATTCTAGTAAGACTGAGTCCAAGTGCAAGGTATATAGTAACTATTGGTATAAAAAATGAAGGAAGTTATTCTGTGGACTTTTGGTTGTGGACTTTGGGAAAAGATGAACCCGACGGTAATTTTTTTTTCAGAATATTATGGATATTCAAAAAGAACATATTTTAGATTCGTTTGAAGTGGAGAGAAATTACGGGACACCAGTAGAAGTATGTTTTAACCCCAACATAGAAGAATTTGTGATGGTGATATTCAAGAAACAAGTTATCTTATTAGTTTGGGTAATAATTTTTTAATTTTCATTTACATTATACAACACAACTAATTCAAAAGAAGAAATATAATATACACTAATGCAAACAACTAAAGGGTCAAAAGAATTTCCGAAATTTTTCCGTGATTTTTGACACACTGTAGTTAGGTGAAAAATGGCCCTATCGGGAATTAAAAAACAAGCATTTTGAAGTTCTAAGATTCTAGTTTTTAGATCTTTAGAAAAGAATTGAAGAATAGTTTCGAAAAATGGAATAAATTTCCTATAACATGCTGTCGCAGCTTTTCAGAAAGAAATTTTTTTCATCTTTTACACGAATTTTTTCGAACATTTATTTCAGAGAAGAAAAAAGGTAGTTATGAAAAAAACTGTTTTTTAAGTGATTACAGGCTGCACAAAAATTAATTACAAATTTGTCTCAAAAAACGGTATGAATCGGGGTCGAAATTTATTTTGGGTCAACAACTTTAATTTTAATGTAATTAAAAGTTAATGAACCATAAAACGAAAAAGCCGAATCGTGCTGGAAACAATTGGATTTTATTTTCTTCAATGTCTGGAAAGTTTTCTCAAAAAAAAAAAATCGAAAATTTTTTCAAAGAATTTTTCGATTTTTTTTTTTTCATCAATTTAAACGTTATTTGCGGTAAAAATGTGAGAAAATCTCATATTTTTTTGTCCATTTTGATCATGATTATGAAGTGTTTAAGCTCAAAAAACGCGACCCTTTAATTTTTTTCAAAAGTTTGATTGAAACAAAGAAACGGTTCGCCAGATTGAGATTCGAAAGACCAAAACTTCGCAGGGTTCTTCTGGGCATATCGAACTGTAATGATTTCTAATTTAGCTGTCAATTTTCTAAAAAAACATAAATTACCCTTTTTTTCCTGTTTTTTAAAATTCGTGTAAAAGATGAAAAAAAAAAAAAAAACGAAAAGTTGCGGCACCACTTTATAGGAACTTTATTCCAGTTTTCGAAGCTACCCTTCAGTTCTCTGCATTTGCCGCCGAGATATCGATGATTGAAGACAAAAGGATCCTTTTCCATTAAAATTCCGATATTTCGATGAAAAATGGTCATATCAAAATTTTAAAAAAAAGGAGATTGAAGCTGAATACAAGCTATCTGGTCCATGCAATGGCTTAGCTGAAAATTCTGAATGGCTTAGCTGAATTTTCCAAATCTCAGAAAAAAAAATTGAAAAATTTTTTTGTCTCGCTGTTTCTTACAATTGCATTATAACCTTTTTATAGCTTTTTAATTCCCGATACGACCATTTTTCACCTAAATACAGACTGTCAAAAATCCCGGAAAAATTTTGGAAATTCTTTTGACCCTTTAATTGTTTGAATAAGTGTATACTATTTATTTTTTTACAACTTTAAGGACGAAGAAATGGATAAATTAATAAAACTTAAAATACCTCAAATAACGCACCAAAGCAAAATTGGTACTTTAACTACGGGCACATATTTATACAATTGTCACGAGTGTTATGCTTGCAGCAGCAAAGGTTGTGTGTTAGTTTTTGGCAGCACACTTTATTCAAAACCATACAAAGAAGGTAATTTGGACAACTCAAAAATATACAGAAATGCTGTTAAAATCTCACACTGCTCTATCCGGAGTTGTGCTGCTTCTGCTAGGTAATTGTTATACAATATTCCCTATAGTCTTGAGTCAAGATTAGACGATTTTCCGTCACCTAAAACTTTTTTCCTTTATTCTTCACATTGTTTAAACCATTTATCCAAAAATCAATTTTTTTCGGCAATTAGAATATGGTTATTTTTAGTTTGCTAGTGGTTGGTGACGATAATGGCTACATATTATTTTTCGATAGGACAGTAAGAATTATGTACTGGCTTAGGAACTTCTCCCTACCTCCAATTGTTTCTATAAGTTTTAACAAAATACCAAAATTTAAACGAGAGGATCTATTAACTATTCATACAGGTATTCCCATAATTACAAGTTACAATATTAATTACAAGTTACATTATTACAAAACTTTACAGTAAAACCCAGGGAGAGTGACAATTTTGAGTGTGGCTTTTCAGATGTCACCGATGAGTTGGAAACTATATTCAAGGCAGATTTACCAAAGGATAGCAGTTTAAAAAATGATCAGTTCTTAGTGAACGACTTTTTCATTGGTAATATCACAATTGGATACAAATTAATTTAAAAATGATCCATATTAGGCATATTTTAAGTTAGCAATGTTGTATTGTTTTAGCCACAATGGATAATAATGTTTATGCAATTGACTTCCTACACAATAAATGTGTTCCCATCTTCCTAATGACAGAAGACAGTATTTCTGCTATAGATGCCCATGATGAATTGTAAATATTTGTTAAATTAAAAAAAGAAATATATATGAACATTTTTACTTATTTTAGCCCTTATATAGTAGTCGGTTATGCCAACGGTAGGTTACATTTAATCGATTACGAGGAGAACAAGTTATTGTCTTCTGTAATGCTTCCAAAAGTTACTCATTCTCCATCAATATCTTGTTTAAAATATTCACCTGAATGTAAGTAATACGTTACATAAATAGGTCCAAATTGCGTTTTAATATATTTTTTTTAGCTCTACATTTGGTTTGTGGCCGTGAAAATGGGGAGATCTTTATTTTAGAGACAATTCTACTCAAACCAAAAACTGTTTCCCCATTCAAACCTACCAGCAATAAAGTTATGAAAATAGTTTTTTCCAGGAATAACAGGCAGTTTGCTTATTACGTAACGTATCCGAAAACCTCATAAAACTTTACTTTCAGTTTAAAACTGCGGTCATACTTATACAGAGTGGCCAAATGAAAACGAAACAGAGCCATTTTCAGGAACTGCGTCAAGATTATAGAAAAACGCTCAGACCCGTCGATTTTAGATTAAAGGGGGACATTCTTTGCTGATATTTTTGACTCCGCCACTTTCACCTCCAAGCAAGGATAAGCATCACCCCAAAATATTTAAATGGCATTGGGGGTTGAATAATATTTCTTTTGAAAGCTCTTACAATTCTCTTTACAACAGACTTTAAATTTTATAATTCNCAAGCAAGGGTAAGCATCACCCCAAAATATTTAAATGGCATTGGGGGTTGAATAATATTTCTTTTGAAAGCTCTTACAATTCTCTTTACAACAGACTTTAAATTTTATAATTCCGCCCAATACTTTGAAAAAAATTTACATTTTAAAATTTAAATTTTAAATTATGTTTAGTTGCTTACTACTTAGTTGATTAAATGTTCAAACTGATGACAGCCCGCTTCCATACAAGAATAAAGATTTTGTTCGAAACGTGCGCACACATTTCGAAGTGAATCGACGGCATTCGTCGACGATTCTTTGACGCAAATCTTCCAGCGACTGGCTGTGTTTTATAGATTTTACTGTTTAGGTATCCCCATCAAAAGAATTCAAGGGGCGATAAATCCGGTGATCGTGGAGGCCACTCAATGCTGCCTCTTCTCCCAATCCAATTCCATAGAAAACGTTGGTCCAAATATTGACAGACAATTAACGCATAATGCGGAGGAACACCGTCGTGTTGAAAAATCAAACGATCTTAATCATACTCTGGAACATTTTCAATAATGTCGGTCAAGGCAGGGTCAATACCGTCTTCCAGTAATTGCAAATACATTTGGCCAGTAAAATTACCAGGTAGAAAAAAAGGACCCACCAGTTGGTCACCGAAAATTCCAGCCCATACATTTAATTTTTCCGGTTGCTGTGTATGTACCTTGTGAAAAACTCTTGGGTTTGAATCGGACCAATAGCGGCAATTGTAATGATTTACCGTTCTGTTCAAGAAAAAACTGCATTCATCATAAAAACAGATGTTAAAAAGGAACTGTGGATTGTTCCCTGCTCGCTCACTCATTATTTCGCAAAATTGCAAACAGCAGTCATAATCGTCCTCATGAAGTTCTTGGACTAATTGTGTTTTATATTAATGGAATTTATTCTTCTTCAAAATGGTTTGTATGCTAGTTCGTTTGATCCCAGACACAGATGCCAGCTGCCTCGTACTTAATGTAGGATCAAGATGAACTTATCCCAAAACTGCAACTTCACTAGCTTCATTAACTATAGGTTTTTCAATTTCTCGTTTTTTATTGGTTACGTTCCCTGTCTCTTGAAATTTTTTTACTAACTCTAGAACATACTTCCTCCTGACATGTCGATCTTGATGTTGTTCATTAAATAACTGAGCTGTTCTATTCGCATATTTATTGTTCATAAAGTAAAGCAAAATTATATCTACCCTTTCGGCAATGGAATAACCATAGTGTTTAATTTTCAAAAACACAATTAAATAAACTATCAACCAACGCTTCCAAGTAATACTAAAAAATTATTTGGAATCCACTAATTTTACGTTCATTGTGTGTGTATAGCATTCATTTCTGTTTTGTACAATTTGTTTTTTTTATGAAAGTGACAATAAATCGCCAAAAACCAATGTAACGCAAGAAATACTAAATTTATACCATTGGCGTACTTAACTCGAATGACTGACATTTTTACCGTTACTAATTGTTTGTACATAAGTTTCAACTTTAAAATCAAAATTCTTAATAAGTATTGGGCGGAATTATAAAATTTAAAGTCTGTTGTAAAGAGAATTGTAAGAGTTTTGAAAAGAAATATTACTCAATCCCCAATGCCATTTAAATATTGTGGGATGATGCTTACCCTTGCTTGGGGGTGAAAGTGGCGGAGTTAAAAATACCAGCAAAGAATGTCCCCCTTTAATCTAAAATCGACGGGTCTGAGCGTTTTGCTACAATTTTGACGCAGTTCCTGAAAATGGGTCTGTTTCATTTTCATTTGACCACCCTGTATAAAACATTTTAATTCAGTAAGCACAAGAAAATTCAAGGATTTTATTGATATGAACTTACAATATTGTGACAGCATAAAGTCAATGAAAAAATTAGGTACAACCAAATAATAATATATTTTTCAGGATAATAACAGGACAGTTGTACTGTTTATGTACGATACAGAGAGTTGTCAATGGGAGTTAAAGGGGAAAATTCGTTCACATTACGAAGATATAACTGATATTATATGTATGTTATATCATCAGAGACATATTTTATATACAATCGGACGTGACAGACATCTAGTTGAATACAACAACGACGACATTAAGTAATTCAATCAGTAAAATTCCTAGTGACTTGGGCGGTTAATTTCTCTTTTCTCTTTTAGTGATGGGAAGTTTGGTATAATTTATAGGGACCGAGTTGAGCAAAAGGCAATTCCAATGACGTTTTTATACTGGTACGAATTACTAGAGGGCAAGAGATTTCATTACCTTTTAGTTGCCGATGATGAGGTTGGTAACGTTCTATTGCCTACTGAAAAATGATCTTTGTATGGGTTTTATTTTTAGCATAAATTCAAAATGATAGATCCATTAACCAAAGTCATAAAAGCGGTGATACTGGCCCCTGCATTTGGGTGTTTCAAAAATCAAATTATCAGCAAAATGATGGTAAAATTTCGTCGATTGTTAACACGATTTAAAAACTAAAAAAATATTTTAGATTATTCCAGAAAATGACTCGAAGTACATGATTTTTTTGACAGGGAAATTCCTAGGACTACACATCATGTCACCAGACGGAAATCCTTATAAATATACAGGATATTTAGGACATCCGTCTAAGGTAAAACAATTTATGATAAAATATAGTTTTATTGTATTCAAACTACAGGTTGCTGATTTTGTTTTATCACCGGATGGAGATTATTTATTCACATATGGTACAGATGATCATTGTGTTTTTAAATGGAAAATAAAAACCAAGTAAGTATTCACTGAGTCGCCCACGAATTTAGGTACAATAAGATTTACAGAGCTGTTGAACTGATGCATCTGCTGGGCGGAAAAGAATTAGAACCGTATTACTGCCTTATCGAAGGCGGTAAAAATGGGTGGCTCTTCCAGGAAATTAAGGATCTGTTTTACTATATGCAAAGTTTACAACACGAAAATGTCGAAATGCCAAAGAAAGTATCAGATTGTATAAACATAACAGAAATTCCTGAACTCGTAAGAACTTGTGGATTTTACCCTTCGGAATTTGAGGTAAAACACTTATAGTTATATGAATAATAATTTTTTTACACACATCTGTGGTTCAAATGTATTATTTTTAAACTAAGAATGTTTTTATTTTCTTTTTTCACTTGTTTTTACTGTTAACTTTTTTGTTCGTGTTAAATTTGAAAATTTGGCAACGTGGCAATGCCCCTGGGGCGATCACAGTTAAAATACCTAGAACTTTCCAACACTTCCGGTTATACCTACCACACCAACTTCGTTATTTTAAATAAGACAGCCTATACCGGGTAGGAAAGTCCCTATGGTTCATCGGGCGTTACGTGAGAGCGATAAAGTAAGCCATAGAAATCCATGCGATAGAGAAGGATGGCTATAATGAAGGCGTCTCATAGTCACCGCCCGTTTCGCCCTTCCACAAATAAGATCCACTTCTTATTTGTGGAAGGGCGAAATGGGCGGTGACTATTAGACGCCTTTATTATAGCCATCCTTGTCTATTACATGGATTTCTATGGCTTTATCGCTCTCACATAACTTCAGATATACTATCGGTACTTTCCTACCCGGTATATTATTGCATTTTCGTATTCTACGTGAAATTTGAGGGTCACTTTATTAAATATTCTCTATAGGTACTCCTGGAGTTATAGAATTTGAGATATTAATTTTTAAAGAAAAAATTTGACAGATGCAAGGGTCCACAGAGATGCTAGTAACTTTTTTCAGAAGCGTGATGTCAAATGGATTTTTGGTACCTGTAAAGGGTAATAATTAAAACATTTAATACTAGGTGTTTTATTTTTACTGTTACATTTTGATAACTTCAAACAGCTATAACTATGTCAGCTTAAATGGGCACCCTATATTTTTTTTACTCTGTTGTATTCAGTTTGAAGTTTCCTTTCAAGCCGTATAATCATTGTTAGGGTTGTCATTACTACTTTTAGAGATATTTGCAATTCTCTATTTCTTTGGACACGTTTTCTCGTATCAGACCTGTTGTCAAATTGGCCATGACCAGAAACACTCCAAAAACAATTGAAATAACATAACTTTTGTCACGATTGTTGTCAAATTATTGTTGTGTCTGAATAGTTTTTGCCGAAAATTTAAATAAAAATGCCGGGCCTGAGGCTCGTTTAAATTATACTAATGAGGATTATTTTAAATTGTTTGTTATTTATTCCCACCAGGCAATTTTATATAAATTTTCAGCAAAAACTATTACAGACATAACAATAATTTAACAACTAACTTGACAAATGTCAAGTTATTTTAATTGTTTTGAAGTGTTTCTGGTCATGGCCAATTTGACAACAGGTCTGATACGAGAAAAAGTACCAAAAAATAGAAAATTGCAAATATCTCTGAAAGTAGTAACGGCAACCCTAACAATGCTTATATGGCTTAAAAGGAAATTTCAATCTGCATACGACAGAGTAAAAAACTACAGGGTGTTCCATTTAACAAAGTTATAGCTGTTTGAAGTTATCAAAATGTAACAGGAAAAATGAAACACCTAGTATTAAACGTTTTAATTTGTTCGTATACCATAATGTAGTGTTACCTATGCCCTTTACAGGTACCAAAAATCCGCTTGATATCACGCTCCTGAAAAGAGTTACTAGCATCTCCGCGGACTCTTGCATCTGTCAAATTTTTTCTTTAAAAATGAATATCTCAAAATCTATAACTCCTAGGTATAGGGAATATTTAATAAAGTGACCCTCAAATTTCACGTAGAATCGGAAAATGCAATAATATATAGGGTGTCCCATTTAAAATAACAAAGTGCTGGAGAGTTCTAGATATTTTACTTGTGTTGCCAAATTTTCAAATCTTTCGGAGCAGTACTTTCCTAGATATTGATCGATGCTGTTCCCAGTGGGACACCCTTTTGACACATCAACTTTGAGAGAACAATAACAACTATGACCCTTTTTTCTTCTTTCATGCTTCCATTTTTTTTTAACCAAAATTATACCAAATAAGGTCAATGAAAAATTTCAATTGCACGTCTTGAAAAACAACAGGTTTATTAACAAAAATATATATTTTTTAATTTTAACTAACTGTAAATTTTCTTCTAAATCTGTGGTTCAAAATCAGTGTAGTATTGTTAAGTATTTTTTTAGCTAGAAACTATGATGATTGACATAAAATTTAGACACTACGATGATACTGGATTATACAACAGCGATGTAAATTTCATCGACTTTGTGAAGCTGTTTTGCAATCACAAACCTGTATATGGATACTCCAAAGAAAAAATCAGAAAGGCTTTTAAAACTATAATTAAACAAATGGACAGCGATTCTGAGGACTCGATTAGCCGAGAAGATTTCTCCACAGTATTAACATGTGCAGGTATAGTTCTGAGGTATTATTCAATAGTAGTTTTATCCGGAGATGTCTCGATAAAGAAAAAAAGTTGAATTAACAAAACAGTCATGTTTATTACCAGATTAAATTTCAGGTGAATGCATAAACCCCAGCAATCTTGTAAAATTGTTGCAAACACTGACGAGATCGAATGATTCTAGTGACAACTTAGAGTTTTTGCCAAAAGTAAATTAATTATGCTATTATGATTATTATTTTTCAAAATTTTCATTTCTAGGAAATCACTTTTAAAATTTTACTTCACGATATTCTTGGCATTAATAAGGGATGAACTAAAATGAAAGTGAAATGGCAAATACGAGTACATGCAAAAGAAACACTGAAGAATAAGAATTAAATTCTAGCTGCTATGAAAATATATAATCTATATTCATAAAATAAACCTCATTTGAGTTATTATTTTTATGATAATTTTTTTCTTTTTTTACATATCCTCTGCTTCGTAGTTAAGTTTTTCTTGGCCTCTTTTGTACATACATTTGCAGTGACATCAGCTGGTGAAAATTGACGTCATATTTTTATAAAAAAGCACAGGACACATGCTGCGTTTTAGACCATAATTTCCACAACCGCCAAATTTTTATGATTAAAAAAAATTTGGAGCGAAATTAGCAGAATGAGGAATTAGAAACAGCAGGTGTTCTCCCTGGAATCTCAAAAATAATCGCATATATTTTTACATAGTTACCACTGCCACCACTATATATTCAACTGTTTCTATTAAAAAAATTGTTTGGAGTTTTTGCTTTACACTTTTCTCAAAATCGATTCTATTTAGAGATTTGAAACAAACACTTTAAATGTAGCGCCCTCTAGGGGCTACACCAAAATTAAAGGCGAACTATGATTTCCCACCCAAAAAAACCTTCTCTCACGGACTTTCACAAGAAAATTTAAAAAAAATGGTTAAATGCTACAAAACAAAAAATTACATTTTAATTGTGACACCTTGTATCTTTTTACCTACCAATATTTTACTGAAGCACAGTTAGCTGAATAATATGGTGACTTCTATGTAGTGTCCTCTGTTAAGTATACCAGATAACTTTTCAATATTTCAGCTACAACTTCTAATAGCTGCTTTACATTGACAATTTATTCATTAATAAATTGACGAAGTTCTTCATGAATTAATTCACGAATTTATTGGTAAACAGTGTGGTTTTACACTGCTACAGACTTTGTCAAGTTTTTTGACGCATGAATCAGTTCTACCAACGAATCAAAGAAGCAAATAAATTTCAAAAATGTCACCTTTCCACTCATAATTGTAGTGATACAACAGCGGTACCGTTCTGACACATATTATATAAATATTAGTTTTTGTAAGTAACAAATCAGTAAAAACAATGCAAAACTAGTACGACGCCACACAATTATTTACATATTCCAATAACATAACCTCATTACTGATCTGAGGCTGGAAATCTGTTGGGTTGGTACTTCTGAACTTCACGAAGAAATTGACGAAAATTAGAACATGTTCTAAATAATTTGTCAAGAACTTGATGAATAAATTCATAAAGTTATTTGACAGCAGATTTGGTGCATTACACTTGTCCAATTTCTTGATGGAATGACTTCAAGAATTAATTCATCAATAAATTGTCAATGTAAAACAGATTTAGGTAATTTCAGTTTTATATTAATCTAGATACCTACCTACTTTGTGCAACTGAATAGTAAATAAATATTTATGTTTCAGTAACTTGTCAATATTGTCATATATTTGTGATATTTTATTTTTTTTTGAGAAAATGTCTGATGAAAATATATCTAGAGGAGAAGACAAAGAAAACTTGATGTATATCTTCAGACAGATCATTATAGAACGATCTCAGCACTATGTAGAAGATCATTCTGAAAGAGGTTCAATTATATCTACAGATTCTACATTGCCAATGAGATGTCTCGAATCCGATATAAACTTATATGACGCAATCGGTGACCAAATTGGGCCCCAATCTTTCGACAATCCTGAAATGATTGCCAAAACGAAACCTTTTGTAAATACAAGTTTTTATTATTTGAAATTCCATAATTCATAAGATTATTAATATTTCATAGAACTTACAATGCCGTTTTATATGTTTTTATAAAAACTTTAATAGTTGTTATAATTTTCTCTGCAAATTACTTTTTTTAGGACTTTGCATGGAGTTATGGCATCAATTCAAAAACTGGCGTTGTTAACCTGACGTCAGAATACCGAAGGGAAATATTTATAGCAAGTTCCCATTTGCCGATTTTATATAATTACTGTACCAAGCAAATGAAATGTTTAGAAGGACATGTAATGATTTACGATATTTAAATATGAATACACTTCTAAGTCAATTAATTCTATTTTAGCAATACCTAATAAGTTCCATATCAGCAGATCAAGAAGGTCAATTTATAGCTACTGCTGATGATAACAAGGACGGTTCTATTATAATCTGGGACAGCTATGATGTGTACATAATTTTCACTATTTCAACTATAGAACACCGAAATATTTTAGTTGTAGTTGTATAAAGTGCAAAGCAACATGTCAAAATGAAGAAACATTTTTCTCATTGTTTCCTCATGGAAAGAATATTTTTTGTAATTTTTTTAAATGCAAAATTTATTTTAAACAGAAACAGATCAATACAAATTAACAATTTATGAAAATGCATTTAAAATGTGGAACATACACTTTTGATGTCTTCTTATATTTCCTCTTATTATTTTAAAGATACCTAAAATCTCTTGAATGTGCATACCATTTTTAAAATATTCTTTGGACGAAAAAAGAACTCATTTTCTGGAGATTGTTGTGTAACGCCCTGTATAATTCTAAATTTATCTAAACATGTATCATCTCTATAAATTATTAATTTGTAAAACATAAAAAGTTAAAAATCAGATCATTTTCATTCAAAATAAAATTTCAAAAATGACAAAAGAAAATTTTTTCCAGTGATGGTACCCATAAATTTTGATAATAATGTAACCAACGCATGTTATACAAAAAATTTGCTGACATTTCAGGTTTTTCAGGCAGATTGGAAAAATTTTGCTTCGCGAAAATGTTAGCTCCGAATTTCCATTTATCGTGATAATTTCTGTTTGTCTGAATTTCAGAGAACAACATAGACATTCTAGGAGACACTTTAAGAGAAAATGGCATTATGTACTATAACGGCCAAAATTTAAAATATATTTTCGAAAAAGAATGGAAAAGAATTAAAAATTTACATTTTCTGAAATTTTTCAACTAGTATTTCAAAGCAGAAAATACAATTCTAACAAATTCCTTTTTTTTTAATCTGAGAATTACTTTTAATTCTGGTAATTAAAATAACTTCACTTTCTCTAAAATTTAAAATCGACCACTATAATTAAGTTGTGTATTCGGTATTTAGACAAAAAAATTATTTGACATAAATAACATATTTGAAAAAAGTATCTATAGAATATTCAAATCAATTTATGATATCTAGTGTGAAAATTAAACTGTCTTTTAACACGAAAACGACAAAACAATAAAAAATACCAATCATCCTTTATATATTTCTACCCGCAGACTCACAAAACAACTCTGAAAACCACCGAAAACACTACAATTACCCTAACTTTTCACTCATATCGACATATCAACTCACCCTCTTATAATGATAGCCAAAATGTAGACGTTCTCAATTTTCCTCCCCATGGCTCCCCCGTAATCTTGGAATGCCTGGGTCATTTCTATTTGACACAGAAACGTCCAACCTAAACAACGACATCAAAATCGCTCCGATCAGACCACTCCTGCGCCCAGTAGTTGCAACCAACATTTGTTATACTTTGAATAGAAGGTTTACGACATCAATATACAAATATATATTTTTCTAACATCTAGCATAACATTACCAATTCCAATACTAATCTTAAATTTGAACTATTAAATTTGAACTAGGAAAATGCTTGATCATTTTCGACATGCAGTTGTGTTATACAGGGTGTCCGCAAATTTCACCGACAACGTTCGACTGCATATTCACGACGATAAATAAATACGATCTACAAAAAGAAGTTAAATAAAAAGTTTTTGGTTTTTGAGTTACAAGCCTTCAAAGTTGTCAAAAATAAAACTAATTTAATTAATAACTTCATAACCCTTTTACCGATCGCGTTAAAATGTAGCACATTTATTTGGACTATTAGGGTGTATTGTTTCTTAAAGCTTTAGTCGAATTGATATACTGGGTGATAGTTTTCTCCGGTTACTTCTCCCTTTTAGTGGTCAAAAATTTTACAGTGGTCATATTTTTTTCAAACAGGCAAACATTGAAAAGATCGTTTTATTTAAAAAAATATCTCTAGAAAACCACGTACAGAAAGCCATTCTTAACAAAAATGACATTATTTGCAGGTCTATATGTTTTGGTTTGCGTAGTAATATCACGGAATTAATACTTTCTGTAGACGGGCGATTTCCCCAAGAGAAATATTTTCTTTAAATAAAACGACCTTATCAATGTTGCTGCCCGTTTTAAAAAATTACGACTACTGTAAAACTCTTGAACGCTAAAAGGGAGAGGTAACCGGAGAAAACTATCACCCAGTATATCGATTTGACTAAAGCTTTAAGAAATGGTACGACATAATAGTCCAAATAAATGTACCAAACTTTAACGCGATCGGCAAAAGGTTTATGAAATTATTAATTAAATTAGTTTTATTATTGACAACTTTGAAGGCCTGTGACTCAAAAACCAAAATGTTTTTATTTAACCTTTTTTTCGTAGATCGTGTTTATTTATCGTCGTGAATATACAATCAATATACGTGAAATTTGCGGACAACCTGTATATTAAAATTAGGCCATAAAACTTCATAAAGTTAACTCTATTATAAAATTTAAAATTGTTGCACACGAATTAGCTTTCTATTTCGATCATAGAAGTTAAATTTATTTTCTTGTAGTATTCCAGTTTATAGTATGTTCAGTATTTATCCCCTAAGTGAACCAATCTTAGTTAAATTGAGTTTGAGTGGTCGATTCTTAATAACAGTTGGCGTAAGGAAAGAGGGTAGTTATTCTGTGGATTTATGGGTGTGGTCTCGTGGAAGCGATAAACCACACGGTAATTTTATTTTCAAATTGGTATACAGATATACAAAAAGAGCATATTATGTTTCAGACTCGTATGAAGTGGACAAAAACTATGGAGCACCAGTAGAAATATGTTTTAACCCCAACGTAGAGGAAATTATGATGATTATATTCAAAAAACAAGTGGTTTTATTAGTTTGGGTAACAATTCAATACTTTAAAAATGATATAAATTTTAATGTGTTTTGTTATAAGGATGAGGACATACAACTATTTGTCAAGTCTAAGATTCCTCGGATAACAAATCTGAGCAGGGTTGGTACATTAACTACAGGATGTTACGTAAGTGATTGCCACGCATGTTATGCTTGCAGTAACAAAGGATGTATATTGGTTTTCTCCAACACTCTTTATAATAAGCCATTTGAGGAAGGTGTTTTGGATAATTTAAAGATATACATAAACGCCATCAAAGTTTCACAGCATGCCATTCGGACTTGTGCAGCTGCGGCAGAGTAAAAACCAACACACTACAAATATAATGTTTAATTAATTGAAATGGGATTCTTTACAGAGCCGTAGTAGTTGGCGATGCAAGTGGTTCGATATTGTTTTTTGATAAAACGATAAAAATTCTCTACTGGTTTCAAACGTTCGCTTTAGGACCCATTGTTTCCATAAGTTTTAATTCCATGCCGAAATTTAAACAAGAAGATTTGCTGTCGATTTATATAGGTATGCCGGCAACAAATTAATGTTAATTATACTTAGGTAATTAAATAAATAAATATTTTGCAGTAAAACCAAATGGTAGTAACATTTCGGAATGTGACTTTGTGGACCTTACTGGTGAATTACAGAGGATTTTTAGAACGAATTTGCCCAAAGATGCCAGTTTAGCATCCCAGCCTTTTCTATTACCCGATTTTTTCATTGGTAATTGTCCCAAAAATAACAACTGACAATTTTTGCGACATTAAGGACAAATACATCTACCTGACTAAAACCTAATATATTTCAGCCACAAGTGATAACAATATTTATGCCATTGATTTCTTAAACAGAACATGTGTCCCTATTTTCCTGACTGCCGATGACTGCGTTTCGGCGATGGAGGTCCACGATGAATTGTCAATATCTGATAAATTGCAAAGTAACAACGCTCATTTTTTTTTATTTATTTTAGACCATATATAGTAATTGGTTATGCTAACGGTAGATTACATCTGATTGATTTTGAGAAGAACGTGGTTGTGTGCTCCGCTATGCTTCCGAAAACCGAGGATTCCCCATCGATATCTTGTTTAAAATATTCACCAGGATGTAAGTTATTCACCATATCGACGCTTTAGTACGAAAACATGCTATCTCAGATTTCGGTTGGAAAACATGCTATCTCAAATTTCAGTTGGAAAACATGCTATCTCAAATTAAGCTTGGAAAACATGCTAACTCAGATCTTTAGGTAAAAACATGCTATCTCAGTGTGACTAGACATTTAAGTTGGCACATTGAATGATTGAAACCATCCATTTATAATAAACTTATACATACAAGGTGATTCACAACTTATCCAAAAAAATTTGGGAATAGATGCTGAGAAAAAAATTATTGAAGTGATATTGAAGTTATAATACATTCAACCACTACATAGCTGGACAACTGTAGTATCCAGCGTCATTCGCAATACGCGTGGAGAGCCACGTGGCTTCAGCAACTCCGAATACTGAAATCGGATTTTGCAATTGTTGTTGCGATAGTATTTACCTGTTACCTGTGGTGTTTACAATAGTTTTTTAGTAGTTAGTGTCAAAAATGAGTAGTTAGTGTCAAACATGGTTTGCGTGTATACCAATTCGGAGTTGATGGATATCATTTTAATTTATGATGAAACATTTGTATTATGGTGAAGCAAGACAACAACATTGTGTTAGTTCGTAGAAACTGAGTAAGACGGACCCAAATGTGTTTACACGTTGGTGGATAAAATTTTGAACAATTGTTGTTGTAACATCGGGTATGTCAAATGATTTTATTATTTAAAAACACAAATTAATTTTATTAATTAATAAAAGCAAAAGCAGTTGAATTTGCCGATATAAAATAGGTGCGATAAACTACTATTTACATATTTCTTTCCTTGCGAAGTTTTTGTCCGTTTTTATCACGCCGCCATGCCAGTCGCATTGTGCGAGGTCAGATTTTACAGTGGACCAGTTTCCAGTGCCGTGCAGAAGTGTATTTTTAAATCATTTTCGAACTGCCCTTTTTGATTTTTTCTTTACAAAACTGTATTTATAAGGGTCCCCTGTACATCCAGAATTTTTTTTTGGATAAGTTCTGAATCACTCTGTATAATATATTTTTAAAAAAGTAAGGAATGTTTATGGTCAGGTACACTGTTTATTTTATTTTTTTTAGTTAAGTTACACTGTTATAATTGACAAAATTGTTTATTAAAAAAATAGAATATGCAGTATGTGTAGCATACTGCATTACTCGATGTTTTATGAAATAACAAATTATATATAAAAAAATAGTGCAAGTATACCTTCATATATAAAAATGTTTTATTACTAAAAATTATTCGATTTTTTTCATACAAGTTTGCTTTATTGATATCAAAATTAATAGCATACTGCTCTTATCTGATTTATAGTCGCTACTCTTGATACACTTATTTTTCTTTTTCACAAAATCTGGGATGCACAATTTATTCTGAAAATAATTTTGTATGCATAAGGAGACTGCAATAAAAAGAATTATATAGTGTCCCAATCGTTCTTACTGCACCTCAATAAAAACAAATGGCTTCTTAAGGGTAGTCGCGTGCTTGCATAGACTTTGGAAATGAAATGTAGGTATGCGACACTTTTATTACCGGCTCTTTATGATCTGCTGATGATAAACATGTGTGCATGGGGCACCGCGGAAATGTGCACGTGCAAATCACATGCGCCCGTCGCATCGATATATGTATACATATTATTCAACTTTATACATTATATTTATATTTTGGTTATTATGTTAACTTTATTAACAAAAGTAAGAGCAGTGACTATAAATCAGGTAAGAGTGCAATATTAATTTTTATAATTATCAAAGAAAATTTGTATGAGAAATATCCAATAATTTTTAGTAATAATAAACATTTTTATATATTAAGGTATACACTATTTTTTTTTTATTTATAATTTGTTATTTCAAAAAACGTTGAGTAATGTACATGTTGCATATTATTCTATTTATTTAATTAGCAATTTTGTCGTCAAAATTATTGTTGAATAACCAACTTAAATTTCTAGTCACACTGAGATAGCATGTTTTTACTTAAAGATCTGAATTAGCATGTTTTCCAACCGAAATCTGAGATAGCATGTTTTCATACTAAAGCGTCGAATCATCGAATTTTCATCAATATTTAAAAAAAAATCGAATGAGGATTCTTTGCAATAAACAAAAAAGTTTATCTAGAAATGTGTCCCGTATATGTATAAAAACTGAAATCTGAAGTCTGAAATCACCCAGGCTTGTTTATTTATACAGGGTGTCCCACCAGGAACTGCGTCGATCGATATCTAGGAAAGTACCTACTGATCCGAAAAATTTGAAAATTTTGCGACATGGCAATATCCCTGGGACGAACACAACTAAAATATCTAGAACTCTCCAGCACTTCCGGTTATACCGGGTGTCGACATTGACTTCGTTATTTTAAATGGGACACCCCATGTATTATTGCATTTTTGGATTCTACGTGAAATTTGAAGGTAACATTATTAAATATTCCCTATAGTTATAGATTTTGAGATATTAATTTTTGAAGAAACAATTTGATAGATGCAAGGGTTCGCGGAGATGCTAGCAACTCTTTTCAGAAGCGTGATACCAAGCGGATTTTTGGTACCAGTAAAGAGCATAGGTAACACTACACTACTAACAAATTAAAACATTTAATACTAGGTGTTTCATTTTTGCTGTTACATTTTATAACTTGAAACAGTTATAACTTTGTTAACTTAAATGGAACGCCCTATATCTTTTACTCTGTGGTATGCAGATTGAAGTTTCCTTCCAAGCCATATAATCATCGTTAGGGCTGCCGTTACTACTTTTAGCAATTTGCAATTTTCTATTTTTTTGGACAGTTTTTCTCGTATCAGACCTGTTGTCAAATGGACCATGACCAAAAATACTCCAAAAACAATTGAAATAATATGACATTTGTTAAGCTAGTTGTCAAATTATTGTTGTGTCTGAATAGTTTTTGCCGAAAATTTAAATAAAAATGTCCGAGGATCGCTTAAATTACACTAATGATAATTTGACAACTAAGTTGACAAATGTCAAGTTATTTTAATTGTTTTGAAGTGTTTCTGGTCATGGCCAACAGGACTGATATGAGAAAAAGTGTCCAAATAATAGAAAATTGCAAATATCTCTAAAAGTAGTAAAGCCAACCCTAACAATGATTATATGGCTTGAAAGAAAATTTTATTCTGCATACGACAAAGTAAAAAATTAAGTTAACAAAGTTATAGCTGTTTCAAATTATCAAAATGTAACAAAAGTGAAACACTAAGGGCCATTTTCATAATATCTGGTAACTTGAAGATGACTGGAAACTGCAAGTTAACCAGTAAATTTCCTTTTCACAATATCGGATTTGGCATTAGCTTTTGGTTAACCTCCCAATTTGTTAACTATAACTTAAAGTATAGGTTAACTACCAGTTTTGAGAAACTTAACCTATAAAGTTTTATCTAAATTCGTAAATTTTATCGAGTTGGGATTCAGAATTTAGTTTGTAGTAGTTTGTTTAAAATGAGTGATTATGAAAAAAATGCATATAACAGCAAAGAGAAATTAATAAATGAAGTAATGCCTAGAATATTTCGGAGGAGACCTAATTATTTTGAAATTATGATTCACATGACTTTTTTGTGAGATTTAGATTAAAACCCATAACAGTTGAAATGTTGTTGGAGAAACTTGAGGAAGCAATCAGTCATCCAACAGAAAGGTAAGTATCCAAATTACCTTATGTAATAACTACTTAATTGTTTTCTTTGTAGGAACCTCGCTTTGTCTACAACTTGCAAGTCAACAGTTGTTGCATGTTGACTTTAAATTTTTTTGCAAACGTTTCCTATCGAGCCATATTCGCGTTTCGTCCACAATATATTCAAATGCCAGAAGAGAGAGAAATTGCTTTAGTCCGGCAAACATTTTTTATTATTCTTCAATACGTTTCCAAATTTTTTCCTTATCTTTCCATGTACGTACATCAACTATTTTTATACTCTATAATATTTTTATATTAAATATATCAATAAATTCTCTTCGTCTTGTGTAAAGTTTACTGCTCTTTTATTATCCATTGCGTTTTTTGGTTTCTCTTTATCTCTTCTAATCGAAAATGTGAGGTTATTTGACATCCACAGACCACTGATTATCTAAGAATAAGGGTCACGTGACGAGTTCTCAGCACTACCAGTTGTAGAAAAACATACATACTTTCGGTTAACTTAACCCTGAATGTGAAATTTTTTATGAAATGATATGTCTGGGTTAACTTTAAGGTAATAGTTACCTTTACTTTTACTTTTACCGCATATTATGAAAATGGCCCTTAGTATTATATGTTTTAATTTGTTGGTATACCATAATGTAGTGTTACCTATGCTCTTTACAGGTACATAAAAACCGCTTGATATCACGCTCCTGAAGAGAGTTACTAGCATATGTCGGCGGACTCTTGCATCTGTCAAATTTTTTCTTTAAAAATTAATATCTCAAAATCTATAACTCCTAGGTATAGGAAATATTTAATAAAGTGACCTTCAAATTTCACGTAGAATCGAAAAATCTTATTTTCATAAAATTTTTTTTATTTTGTTATTGAAAACATCCAGGTTTGTTTATGATAAAAAAATAAATATTTTGATGTAAGTAGGCTTTACTTAATTTTAGTTGTGGTTCGGTGAGTAATCCAGTCAATATTATTAGCAAAAAATATGGTAAGTCATTGTTTTTATTAGTTTGCTATTTAGTCTGGATTAAACAATTAAGAATTTTTAATCAAGTCTTATCATAAAGATACCTGGATTGTTTTAATAAGATTGAAAAACTTTTTCCGATATGATTAAAAATAAAAGATTTTTATAAAAATTGTAACATTGTCTCAAAACAAATCGTTTCCAGACACACATTTGTAGGAACTTAACAAAAAATCAAAGTATCAATGAATCACCTTGATATTTGCTGTTTTTTTTTAGCTATACATTTGATTTGTGGTCGAGAAAATGGAGAAATTTGGATTTTAGAACCAATTGTCCTTGAACCAAAAATTAAAACTCCATTCAGACCCTCAAAGAATAAAGTTGTGAAGATCGTTTTCTCCAAAAATAAAGCGCAGTTTGCTTATTACGTAATGTATAATATTAAGTTTGGTCTAAAAATTTTAATTGAAATACCTAAACTATTTTGCAAAAGAAAACTAAAATATTTTTCTGAAAACGAAAATTACGTTTTCAGGATAATAACAACACAGTTGCCCTGTTCGTATATAATTCACGCCTATGCGACTGGAAATTTACAGGGAAGATCCGTTCCCATTATAAAGACATAAATGACATTATATTTATGCCAAGACATCATACATCAATTCTATATACCATCGGATGTGACAGACATCTAGTAGAATATAACAACAACGAAGCTCGGTAATTGCTCAGAACTTAAATTTATATGGGTTCAGAAATCGAATGTATTTTTTCAGAGATGAAGGCCTTGCTATAGCTTGCAGGGAACGGATAGAACAAAAAGCAATTCCCATGAGCTTCCTTTACTGGTACGAAATCGTAAAGGACAAAAAAATCGGTTACCTTTTAATTGCTGATAATGAGGTTGTTGTCGAATACGTTTAAATGTGTTCAGTAAACTTTTTCCTTTCTAGCATAAATTCAAATTACTGGACCCAGAAACCAAAATTCCAAAATCGGTGATACTTGCTCCCGCTTTTGGATGTTTTAATAAACGAAATATTAGTAAAATTATGGTAAAATTTCCTCAAATTATATTTTATAAACTTATATTCTTTTCACTTTTATTGTTATTTACACAGGATGTCTCATAATCAGTGTCTAATAATTTACCACTTGATTCTATTGCCAAAAATACGAATATTTTTTCATATGAACATGGTTCGAAAAATGCTTCCTAAGGGAGCTACGCCCCCCTAAATGGGGCCACAAAAAATTATTTTTTTTTATATTTCCGAAATGGGTTGAAGGAAAATTATGAATTTTCACATCGTGAATGCTCATTAAAAGTCGAAATAGTTCATCATAAAATTTTTAAAAAATTTTAGTCAGGTGCGCCTCAATTAAGGGGGTTGTTGGCTAAAATTTGCCCCAATTTGTTTGCTTGTCGAAATTTTCAAATTTAAACAGTAACATTTGATAGATCCGGGTTTTCTATTAAAAATGGCAATGTTGTATTATATTGAAAAAATAATCCGCTTTCAAGAAAAATCGGTTTAAATATGTTATAACACTTTCCAGAGTGTGCTTTTCTAAGCACTTAAATCCGTTTTTCTTGGAAATAAAGCATTTTATTAGGAAATGAAGGTCTATCACATATTGACCTCTGAATTTGAAAACTTCGACAAGCAAAAAAATTGGGGCAAATATTAGCCGACGACCCCCCAAGAGACGCTCCTGTTCAAAATTTTTGAAAAATTTTATGATGATCTATTTGGACTTTTAATGAGCGTTCATGGTGTCAAAATTCATAATTTTCCTTTAAACCATTTCGGAAATACCTATTCGAAAAAAAATTAATTTTTTGAGGCCCCATTTAGAGGGGCATAGCTCCCTTATAGTCCAAGCATTCTGTCACGGATTAATGTTAAATTTGCAGAAATTATTACTTGTACAGATAAAATATGACGGTATAGAAAATTAAATTTTAAATTGAGTTTCTTGTTCTTTAAACTCGATCCAATATGGCGAACATGGTTAAAAAAAATCGCAAAGTTGAAAAAAACGGTTTTTCTAAAATAACTAAAAAAATATAGCACGGATTGAAAAATTTTAAATGAGAAAGTTGTAGGTTTTAAAAAGATCTATCGACTGATTTTTTGAAAGTATCGATTGCTTTGTTACTTTTCGAGATATATCGAAAAAACCGTTAAAAATCTTCTCTTTTCTCTTCTTCTATAACTCGTTTACATTTACGTGCCCATATTTGCTATTTACTGCAAGCATAGCCCGCGGCAAGCCAAAAAAGTACATTTTTGAAAAATTTAAAAATATTAATTATTTTTCGAGATATATCGATTTTTTGAAAAAAAGGCGCTCTCGAAAATTGGCTAGATCTTCTCAGCGGATAGCCCTACAGTAACGATTTTCGGTTTATTTTCTTCGTAAAGAGTTATATTATCATGCTGTTAAAAAATGTTGACGATTTTATTAATTTTAAGGATCAAAAAATGACTTTGAATAAGTTGCACTTTTTTGGGTATGTTTTTTTCAAATTACTATTTCAATTTTTATTTTATGAAAATGACTTTTAAAGAAAGAAAACTAAACATTTACGGGTCTATTTTGCTTCTAAGGCGAAAATGCTATAATATTCGTGTTTAGCTACCCCAGATTAAGTACAAAAAAATAATAAAAATTGAAATAGTTATTTGAAAAAAACATACCCAAAAAAAGTGCAACTTTTTCAGTCATTTTTTGATCCTTAAAATTAATAAAATCGTCAACATTTTTTAACAGCATGATAATATAACTCTTTACGAAGAAAATAAACCGAAAATCGTTACTGTAGGGCTATCCGCTGAGAAGATCTAGCCAATTTTCGAGAGCGCCTTTTTTTCAAAAAATCGATATATCTCGAAAAATAATTAATATTTTTAAATTTTTCAAAAATGTACTTTTTTGGCTTGCCGCGGGCTATGCTTGCAGTAAATAGCAAATATGGGCACGTAAATGTAAACGAGTTATAGAAGAAGAGAAAAGAGAAGATTTTTAACGGTTTTTTCGATATATCTCGAAAAGTAACAAAGCAATCGATACTTTCAAAAAATCAGTCGATAGATCTTTTTAAAACCTACAACTTTCTCATTTAAAATTTTTCAATCCGTGCTATATTTTTTTAGTTATTTTAGAAAAACCGTTTTTTTCAATTTTGCGATTTTTTTAAACCATGTTCGCCATATTGGATCGAGTTTAAAGAACAAGAAACTCAATTTAAAATTTAATTTTCTATACGGTCATATTTTTTTTGTCCAGGTAATAATTTCTGTAAGCATTTCTCTATAATGCTTGGACTATTAGAAAGCATTTCTCAAACAATGTTTATATGAACAAATATTCTTATTTTTGCAATAGAATCAACTGGTAAATTATTGAACACTAATTATGAGACACTATAATAAATCTTACATCTCTTCATAAAATTTCAATAAATACGATTATACTTAAATAATTTAATTATACATTATTTTAGATTATTCCAAACACTGAAGCAAAATATATGGTTTTTCTAGCAGACAAATTTTTAGGATTACACATGCTATTGCCAGATGGCAATCCCTATAAATATGTAGGATATTTAGGACATCCGTCCAAGGTAAACCATATATTTAATTTTTGTGTGAAACCACAATTTATTATTGTCTCTATAGTTACACATGCCCCTTTTTTTATAAATAGTGTATACATATTACTGTTAAAAGTATCTGTTTGTAAATATCAGAGTCAGAATGTATTACAACTATATTACTTATCAAATAACATAGGTTGTAGATTTTCTTTTATCTTATGATGGGAAGTACATGTTTTCGTTTGGAACGGAAGACCACTGCGTGTTTAAATGGAAAATAAAAACCAAGTAAGTAGTCATATATAAAAAATTAGAAAAAAAATGCAAAAATGGACATTAATAAGTACCTAACAATTTTCGAATGCCAGACGGTTTTAAATAATAGGGTGGTCATAGGGGTTAAATTGTAAGAAAAAAAAATACATCCTTTACTTTTTGTCTGGCAATCGAAACAAAAATGAGAAATTGTACTTTTTTACAACTTTGTTTATTTATTTATATATTTTCGAACAGACCAACTTGTCTGGCAGTTTTAATTTGAGTTTGCAAGTGTATTTAAAAAAAAAAACGAATTGCCAGACAAAAAAAATACTGATGTTTTCATTAATTTAAATTTTTTTTAAAATTTTCGAACAACCCAATTTGTCTGGCGTTTTAACCTGAAGTATAAATATGTATTTTCAATATAAATGCAAAATGCCAGACAAAAATAAATCGTTTAAATTAGAAAAAAAGAAAACCAAGTTTTCGTTATTTTTTTTTGTAACTTTTTAATTCATTTATACATTTTCGAACAGCTCAACTGGCATTTATATGTTGTGTTTATACGCGCATTTCTAATTGAAATGCAAAATGCCAGACAAAAATAAATTATTGAAATTTTTATAAATTTTTTCACGCCTTTTATTTATTTATAAATTTTCTAATTATGTCTGACATTGAAAAATGAATAAGATTTTATAATACCGCAAACACAATGCCCTTTTTTGTACATTAAGATTACTGAAAAATTTTTAAAATTTTCACATAATTTTCCGCAGAGATTCTCGACTCCGAACATTGGAAACCGTCTGGCAATTTATTTTTATCATTTTCATAACAAAAATATTCATTGTTTTGATTGCCAGGCAAAAAGTAAACGATGAATTTTTTTTCTTGCACGTTCAGGCTTATGAACCACCCTTTCGGCTATTTAAAACCGTCTGGCATTTGAAAATTGTTAGGTACCTACTTATTAATGTCTATTTTTGCATCAACTCCAGACACTTTAAGATGAGTGAAAAATTAATTATTTTATGCAAAAGGAAATTAATTTTCCAAATTTTTTAACAGAGGTCGGCCCTTAAAACCTCCCTTATTTTCATTAACTTACTTACCATCTTTAGACCTCAAAATGCCAGACATTTTTCGATGACACCACACCCATGTGCGCTAGCTCATGGTCTAATATGAAGTGTTTCAAGCAAAAACAACATTTGTCACAAAATAAACTTTTTGAGTTATTAGCAACGTTATATTTAAAAATATCATATCTTTGCTCCTACAAAATATTTCTAGCGAAAACCACGCATGTCAGTGTGATATGCATTGTTGAAATATAGGGCGTTCTGCAAAAACCGCACTTGTCAGTGACATGTATTGTTTGTTTTTGATCATGTTCCTTTGAAAAAGACAAAAAAGATTAAAGATTTACAAACACTGTCTAACATTTTGAGAAACAATGAAAATTACACATTTTATGAGTCCTTAGTACTATCAAATAGCCATGACGATAACAAAAAACAACATTGATCCAGAAGATAATAGCAGTGGTTGTGAAGAAACTTAACAATCAAAACTATGCTTCTCCTTTGTTCTAAATGCAACGTATGTTTCCTTTCTCTGTTCTAAATGCGTTTTTGTTAGTAACAATTTCGTTTTGTGTTCAACAAAAAAATAACAGTAAAGTAGTTTTTGGCCAAAAGTGTCTTAATTTTCCTTCAAAAACTACACATGTCAAACTAAAATATATATTTTTTCTCAAAATGTATAGTTTTTTGATACAATTAAGTCGGAAGGTTTCATTACACACTTTTGATTATAAATTCCTATAAACCTTTTTTTAAATATTTAACCTGTTCCAAGAAAATCAGTTTTAAGACTCCTCTAAATTTGTTTTTTTAACATATGTTCTTTTTGCTAGAAACCCTTCATATATAAAAGTTATTCCCATGCTATGCTATCTCTTGTAATAAAAGAAGCAAATGTTAAAAATATATACCTACGCAAACCCAATCTTATTTATTATATTGCTTTTTTTAGGTATCATCATAAGCATAATGTTAGAAAGATCATCAGTTTTTCATCATGTAACTTTAGGTGGGGGCCATTTTTTCGGGTTATAACTCATTTTTCACATTACACCGAGTTTCTCCACTATACCGCCACAAGCCAGCACCTGAACTAGGTTTTAAATCACATATGCATTTATTAAATATTAACTATTGGTATGTGGACAGATTTAAAATATTTCAAGCTTGTAATAGTGTTTATTTTTTAAAGCACTGTGTTTAGTTTGTGAATATCAGTGTTAATGACCTCTGACATTGACCTAGTATCACGTGATGTGATATGACAACAGGGCCCGAGCCGGGCAAAAAACAAATGGCCAATGTTAATAACCGAATATGTCACCACTTCATTTTATTACATTTATTTTAATTTTCAATTGCGGGAAATAGTCGTTTTTACTGGACTTAAAATAGAATTTGTATAGTGAAAGTATGTAGCCATATAAAAATATATATTTCAGTGTTTAATACAATGCGTATATATGTCTTATATTGTTAAATTTCTGTGTGATATGAAAAAATTAAATGTGTTGCTATTGGTCAAAGGTAGCCCCCGTATAAATATGATCCCCATTCAAAGTTATACCTGTATATGGGTCACTCTTTGTTTCGACTGTTTATACACTGTTTATTTTAATGTGTTCAAAAAATCGTTCGAACAAAAGCCTTAAAATCTTTGTATAAACATTTTTTTTCTAATTCTTATAATAAACTACCCTACATGGATGTCATACATAAACGGAAACCCTGTACATACAATATAACTTCCAGAGCTGTCGAGCTGATGTATCTGCTAGGAGGAAAAGAATTAGAACCGTTTTACTGTCTCATTGAAGGTGGAAAAAATGGATGGCTTTTCCAAGAAATTAAGGATTTATTCTACTATATGCAAATTTTACAGCATGAATCTATGGATTATCCTAGAAAAGTATCAGATAGCATAAATGTCTCGGAATTGCCAGAACTAGTACGAACTTGTGGATTCTATCCTACAGAATTTGAGGTAAAACCACAAGTCGCATATTTTAATCGCAAAACATGCATTTCTGTTAATGGAAAATAACAGATATTTCTTTACAAATGGAGGAAACGGAAAATGATGGATGCTCTTTAGAATGCTTGTAATATAAAAGTTTTATCTAACAAAACACACTTTTTGCTTTCAGCTAGAAAATATGATGATTGACATAAAATATAGAAACTATCACGAAACATCGCTTCTGAATACAGAAATAAATTTTATTGATTTTGTCAAGCTATTCTGTAACCACAAGCCTGTGTATGGATATACTAAAGAAACAATTAAGAAAGCTTTCCAAACTGTAGTATTAAATTCAGACAGTCCATCTGAGAATGAAATTAGTAGAGAAGAATTTGCTTCGATATTAGCATATTCAGGTACAATTTTGATGGTTACGATATATTTTTTTTTCACTTAAAAAGGCCATTTTTAAAATATAAAATATATTTTAAGTAGAATTAGACATTTACATGCGAAGTCAATGATATCACTAAGAAAGTTAAAAATAATTTAACTGCATTGAATATATTTAAAATAAATGCAATGCCTCATTTTCCTGCAAGTGAAAATCATTAAAATAATGGTCTCTGCAAATATGTACATTTATTGCAGATTAAAGCATTTTATTGTATTATTTTCCCTATCCCTCGTTTCGTCTACAGCATAATTATTTTCCACATAAGTCTTACTGTATAGTACTTTCAATGCTTGTAATACGATAGTTTCAGAGGTGTAGACTTAGGTACAAATTTCTGCCAAAATAAACGAAATTGTACATTTTCGGGCACACACGTCAAAATACTACACATACTGAACATAAAAATTAAATCATGTAATAAAAACACTCAGTACAGCAGCTGTAAGGGTCAATTATTTTATGCACGTAACTCCAATTTAATAAAATTGCTTTACAAACAAGACATTTTACTGTTATTACACTACAGTGTAAATCAAGAAAATACATTTACATTAATCTGAAAGACATTTTAAAATTTTTTATACAGGGTGGGCCATTAGTGTGAGAAAGTAAAATAACTCCCTCTTTACTCATTACAGAAAAAAAGTTTATATAAAAGTTGTACAGAATCAAGAAACCTAAACTATAAAATTAATTTGAAACATACAGAAACCGTTTATCATTTTAGTGTGGGGTTGCCAAGTTATGTAGAAAATTCTTCGAATGTTGGAAAAAACATGAAGAAGAAGTTGTATTAACGTTCAGCTACTAACACTTGGAACAAAATAATTAGACGGAGTTATAGATAAATGTTAGACAAAGGCTCCTATATAACTCCTATAACTAATATCGTTATTTTATGCAGGGCAGTTTTTATAATACAATCATTTTTAGAGAATTTAAACTTGATTTTCTTAAATTTTTCAAATGGAACACCCTGTATTTTATTGTTCTATTTTATTCACATATCGTTCCACTTCAACTTTTATTAAGCATGTTCTATATCTAAAATTGTTAGTTTTTAAGATATAGCAACATTTCTGAAAAACTTAATTTTTATTATTTTTATAGAATGCCACAAATAAATATTAAATAATAAAATTAACTCAAAATGGAATCATAAATTATGAACTGACAAGTTGACACAATGTGACAATTTTTTCGAAAGCCATTTCGTGCGACTGAAAATAATAAAAATTAGGTTTTTCCAGAAATGTTGCAATAACTTAAAAACTGACAACTTTTGGTGTAGAACATACTTAATAAAAGTTGAAGTGGGCTGATGTGAATAAAATAGAAGAATAAAATACAGGGTGATCCATTTGAAAAATTTTGTAAAATGGAATATTTGGCGTTCCCATTTTTACTCATCGCCCTGTATGTTTCAAATTAATTTTGTCCTTTAGGTTTTTTGATTCTGTATCAACTTTTATATAAACTTTTTTTCTGTATTAGGAATAACAAAGGATTTATTTTACTTTCTCACACTAATGACCCACCTTGTATGTAGCGGTCCGTATGAATGCCTAAATGACCTTACTTTTTGTTGCAGTAAAAGACACTTTATTATCAAATCACAATCAATTTCAGGTGAATTCATAAGTCCTGGTAATCTGCTCAAGTTTTTGAAAACATTGATGAGATCAGATAATAATGATGGTAACCTCGAGTTTTTGCCAGAAGTAAGTAATATATCGGTATTATTGCATTTCTTTAAGTTTTCGTTTACAGAACATCACCTTCGAGTATCTTTATAAAGAAATTTTTGGAATCGACACTATACGAACAAAGAGAATGGATAACGAGTCAAATAAAGAAGCTAATGAAGGCGGCGCAGGTTTAGATTAAAATTATATTATTATAATTATTATAATTATTTTGTATATAAAATAACATAGTGTATAAAAAAGATAATTTATTATACATATATAAAACTAATTACATTTTATTAACATCAGTCTAAATATCACACTGACAATTTCATAAAATGATAGAAATACCCAGAATACCAAAAGATTTTGAGCAAACTCACAAAATAATGGTAAAGAACTATTCAACTAAAACTTTCAACTACAATGTTTATTGTATCTTTTTCTGGCCAACCCTCGATTTTGCATTTTCCACTAGATCGCTGAAGATCTTCGACAGTGTTTCTGAGCCTTTATTCAACATACCATTGTGCGACATGCCAGGCAGTAACAATATAAATAAAAATAAAACATACGTCAAGAAAAGATTACTAATTGTTCCCCCAATCCAAGCAAGAAAAGCAAGTCCGAATATAGTGATAGTGAAGTACTACAACGAATCGTTAAGTATTTAAAAGTCAGGGCCACATAACAACTTACCAATTTGGAGTTGGTTACTTTCATCCTATAATACGAAGAAAGCAATAATTCGAACTTGGTTTTATACAGAACAATATTTGTGCATATTTCTTCATACTGTGTTTGCTTTTCCGAGGTCCACATTTCAGCCTTAAAGAGTGTAGCGATCAGTGCTGGTAATACATAATCTCCTACTGTTATGACTAATCCCAATAACGATATTATAGTTAATAGGTTCGGTTCAAATAGCCATATCAACATAAACATCACAGTACAGCCTAAAAAATATGCATAAATGATATATTTGATTAATTTAGTTTATGGCATTCTAAACAATGTCCTTGATTTTAAATTGCTATTATTTTTATTCACTGGAGCAAATCATTACCAAAAAATACTAGAGAATATTTTTATTTAATAAATCGATATTGTAACTAAATTACTTAATGATGTTTTATCTATAATTTGAGATAATAGAATTGCAATACTTTCAGTAAATATATTGACATTACCTCCCATGATTGCTGTTGAATACCATTGCTTTTTCCATAACATAATTTCATTTATTCTTAGTATTACCTCTCGCCAAGTTTCCAATGACAGCCTCAGCTTTCGAATTTGTGACTCCTAAAATTTTATAAGATAAATATGCACAAAAATAGTAACTACTAGCAGATACCATGGTAGGAGGATATGATATTTTGTATTCATTTGGATAAGCAGGAATGTTTACTGGATCATCAAAGTTTTTAAATAAGTTTAAATTTGTAAATTTTGCATCACCAATAGTTGCATTTTCAAAAGACCTTGGAACGGTTATTTCAGTTTCCTTGAAAATTTGTTAAGGTTAGGTTGGGATGATAAGTAGGTAATTAATTGCAGGAAATTATTAAGAAAAAATTACTTACGGTGTCCGACATTGTGTTTAAATAACTCTGTGATTTTTTTTTCTTCTAAATTATATGACTGTGACGTTTCCCAATTTCGACGTTCTGTTTTGTTTTGAAGAAAGACGAGCAATTTAGTTTCAAAGTGTTGGTATAAGTGGTATCACAATGGTGGTACAGGTATCGAGCAAAATTGTGGTTTACCGTTACGTCATTCTATTTCTATGCCCAAATAATTATTTTAGCAGTTAAGTAATTTTTATATGAGAATAAAATACTAGTCAGTAGACAAAAATTCGATCTTTATCAGTCACTGAAATGCTTGTATCACCCTAACAATATATTTGTTCAGAAAATTAAATATTAGACATACCTATTAATTTTGAGTTGTTGAAACGAAAAAGGCTACCTAGAATTCAATAAACAATTCGTTATTTTAAAATTCTAGTTGTGAATATTCACTAAAGGGGGCGCGAATATAGAATAATGAGAAAAAAATCATATATTTTTCTGTTTAATTTTTTTATTCATGATATTGTTAAATTTCTCAGATTGCATATACACAAAAATTTGTTGATGGACGAAAACTAAGAAATAAAATTCAAAATAAGAACTGCGCTTTTATCATGTACTTTGGGTTTGAGATTAAAAGGTGAATGTGAATGAATAAAGGCTTGCTATTGGTGGCAAAATTCAAAATGTGCCTGTCTTCTCTAGAACGCCAAGTTTATCAATGTTATGACGTTAATTTAATGTGTTCTTGCTTTTATAGCTAACATTTTTTGTTTAAAAACTTGTGATATTTTATATTATGGCATCAACTGCAACAGTAAGTATAACGAAAATGCTGTAGAAAAGCTTTTTTTTTAATTAAAATTTCTGTATTTCAGATGTCAAACAATGTAGAAAACTTATCCCCCCAAATCATAAGAGGGGTTGTTAAAGAAATGCAAGATCTAGTCAATAATCCACCTGAAGGTATTAAAGTTCAAATTAACGAGGAAGACGTCACAGATATACAGGCATTTATAGATGGCCCTGCAGGTAAAGATAAATTGTGTTACCTTAATATTTTCATTTTTTACTTATTTATTAGGTACACCCTACGTGGGAGGACTCTTTAAAGTAAAACTAACCCTTGGAAAGGGCTTTCCAACTGAACCCCCTAAGGCTCATTTTCTGACTAAAATATTTCACCCCAATGTAGCGTCAAATGGGGAAATTTGTGTTAATACATTAAAGAAGGATTGGAAATCAGATCTCGGAATCAAACATATATTACTTGTAAGTACTCTACGGAATTAGTTGTGTATGTACGATTTTTTAATTATTTTCATTTAAAAAATTCTTATGTTGTCTTCAACTTTTTAAATTGTTGACAAATATTTATTTTATTTTAATTTTAGACCATCAAGTGTCTTTTAATTGTCCCAAATGCCGAGTCTGCACTTAATGAGGAGGCTGGAAAACTTCTTTTAGAACATTACGATGATTACTCTCAAAGAGCTAAAATGATGACCGAAATTCATGCTCAGGTAAGTTCTAGGTATAGGTACTTTTATTTATTTGCAAAATTTGTTTTCTGAAATTAGTTACACATAATTATACTGCACAATATTGTCTTCTTAACTAGGCATCGGCAGATACTGATATTTCAAAATATGTGTGATATATAGTCTTTATAACTTTAACCGATATGGGCTGCCCATACTCTAATATAACAGAAGTATTGGTCCATTGTTATTTATTGCATCAATTTTATTAAATATTTCTACACATATGATAAATATTATTTGTTTACGTAGTTTATTTTTTTATCACTTTTCTCATACTATTTTGATTGAAGCTCTTGTTAAATGTTAAACAATTTACAAATGTACCTTAGAAAACACTTTATTGACCTTCAATATTAAAATATTTATTATTTTTTTTTTTACTAATGTTAAAATTACATTAAAAAATATGATCATAAAAAATATATTTTTTGATACAGTTTTGTTACTATTTTGATACAGTTTTTACTACTTTTGAGAAAAATGTAAGATTAGCAGAAAAAAATTGGTACATTTTATTTATCGTTTTTATTACGTTACCTAGTTACAAAGTAATTATAAATTGAGTCAGTTGCAGTTGTATTTACTAAATGAGTTTTTTTCCCCTTTGGCTGCCTAAAAGTAGTATATTTGTTGAATTGAAAATACTCTTAAGAGTTCCTGTTCAATTCTTCAATTGTTCATTACAGATACTGCAATATTTTACAACAATATTTATTATTTTAGCAACATAAATGTAAGGGTATAACGGGAGAAGGTCCTCTAGCTAAAAAGCATGCTGGCGATAAGAAATTAACAGCGGAAAAGAAAAAAATACTAAAAGACAAAAAACGGACATTAAAACGTTTATGAGGTTAATTTTTTATAACTTTGTACTTTTAAACTTTTATATATTTAAAATAAATGTTTATTTATATTTAATTTTTAAATTTAGGATCGAGTATTTGTTTAAATGCATTTTTTGTTGGAGACTTTCGAAATATTTTAATTAGAATAGACGAGTGTGGCAGGATATTATGTTGTATATATTTCAGTGGAAAAGACCTATTCAGTTTACAGGGTATTCCCATGTTATCCACCTGCAGACGGTAATATGGGTGTATCGTAAAGTAGTTCTTTATAAATGTTTTCGAAAGTTGCCAATTCTGACTGAAGTCTTATAAGTTTCTCTATTTGCCTTGTGTCTCGGATTGTGTGATTTAAAATGTTTAATAGTTTAAATTATTGTTTTCTTTTAATTTTCCTAATTAGGTACATTTGATGTGAGGTTTGAACTATTAAATGTGTATGTAATTGATTTTAGGTTACTCTAGTTTTTATTTAGGTGTAGCACTGCACACCAAAAGTGCAATCCATAATTTTTATTTCACCATTTGTATGAGTTTTAGGAAGTCTTTGTGTAGTTTGTGATGTTATTTATGAATAAAAATTATATGATTCCTTATACACGATTTACGTCCAGATTTACCAAACTACACAATTGTCCATATCCCCGATCTTTCTTACATATCATTCCTTTCGTTCCTGGTTTATTTATTTGTGTTCCATTCTGCTTACAATTCTTATCCACTTCAATAATTTAAATTATTCGATGAAATTTGTCAATATTCCCAAATTGTGTCATTCAGTCTTAGTCCTGTTCCTATTTTGACTATTGAAATCCATACAACACATAAAATCTATCAATTTAACAAAGTTACCTCGCAATTTCAACAATAAAAAAAATAAAGTGCAAATTATAATTCGAATGAAAAAAACTAACACAAAAAGATATAGTTCATAAAAATAAAAGTAAAGGTTTGGAGATAGAAACAAGTGTCCCACAGGGTACTGTTCTAGGACCTATGTTTATTTTTAATATAAATAATTACAAATGTATTTATTAATGCAAAGTGATTTCTTATCCAGATAATACTGCTGTCATATTTCATGGAGGCAAAACTGGTTAGGTGTATATAGAAATGCAGAAAACGAGTTGAAAGTTATACAAAAGTGGTTAAATAATACATTTTATTCCAAAACTAACTTTTTTCTAACAATTTTGTGTCAATTTACCACTGATATTAAAATATACAGGGTGTTTCATAATGATGTGCAAATATTTTAAGGAGGTGTTTAAAAAGTAATTTTAAGGGGGGGGGGGGGGTTACTTCCAATATATTTTTTCGATTTGAGCTCCCCCCTGAGATAATATTCAAATCTCAAAATGGCCGAAAAATTAGCTAGTGAGTGAAATAATTTGAAATTGGGCACATGTATTTATATGTAAACATTGTCCAAAATCTGAAGGCTTTTCCTAAAACTTCCATGCTCCAGTGGCGGAGATACAGGGTATCGGTGGCATATTTTTCTAAATAAAATAGTACGCCACTGCTTTACAGTAACGACCATGATATTTTCGGATTCGTCTTCCAATTTTCTACAAATTGCTACCCTCTTATGTTTTTTGAAAAAAACCTGAAAAATATTTCTTGAAGTTTAACACCCTGTATCTTTTTAATGAAGATAGATAAAAACTTTATAGGAAAGACGCCTTAAAATTCACCAAAGAATACGTGGTTTCATATTTGGTCCCAATTTGTGAATCACCCTGCATATTATATGAGAACTATGTAAGTTTATGGCATCTTAAAAAAGTAATATAAAATAAACTTAACCAAAAAAGATATGTAAGAGGAAGAAACATTTATTTTCTTAAAACAAATTTTACTCGAACTTCTCCAACAGGTCTTAAAACTATATCATGTTTGTACTGTATCTGTTTTGGTGTGTCTACGGCCTTTAGTTTAAACTTTCTTAATATCCCACATAGCGCAGCCATTATCTCCAAAATAGCGAATTTTTGACCTGAAAATATAATTTGTCACTATCACGTACAGGATGTGCCAATTTTAATAGCTTTAGGTGATTTATTTTATTCGTTTACATTTACAAAAAAATTCCAGAAAAATTGCATCCTTAAATTGAGGTATTGGATAGTTTTTGTGATGCCGAGTGGCTTATTTGTGAAAATATCTTTTTTTTATAAATTGCTTAGAATCCAGAGACGTAAACTTTTTTAAAATTGTTTAAAATTTTGTTTCACACATTCGAAAAAATTATTTGGCTTAAAACATTTTCTACATAAATACGTGGGGAACTATTCGAGATTTGTATTCTACATAAAAAATTGAATTAAAACTGTATAAAATTTTATAATTAAAAAAAAAATAGAAGGAAGTGGTGAAATTGTGTTTACCCTGCACTAGCATTTATTATATCATCACCTGAGATGCTAAACCTATTTCAATCCAGGTTATTTTCCAGTAGAAGGTAAAAACAAAATACTTTTTTATCAAAATTCAAAACTCTTAAGTAAATACCCAAATATAAATCTCCCTCTAATATTCATACAAATAATATTGATCTTAAACAACAATTTGTACGTACATTCTAAATACCCACTTATAAGTATATTACATAGTTATACGATTTTCTTGACTTTTTTTCCCTCTTATGAACTATAACCAGCGAAAATATACTCGTTTAAAATTTTATTATAAAAAACATAAAAACCTTTTATATAATACATAATATGATCTTTATGGTTATGGACAAGATGTGGTTAGAAATTTGAAACAAGTTCACAACACAATTCAAAAACTATTTTTTTGTAGTTTTGCATCTCAGTTGTCGATACAGATACCATTGCCAGTGCCATTGCAAAAATTTTCCATGCCTCATAATAGATAATAGATAATATTGCTTAATCCTATGCACAAATTGCAGAACTTATCTGCAGAATTAAAACATTCGCGATAAGATGTTATGTTAATATATGCTATAATTATGATACTTATTAAATGAAAAAAATATAGGACCTTAAAAAAAATTAAAAACAACGTTTTGGAAAACACGAAAAGTTATTACCAAATATATTATTAATATCGTGGCTGAATACCTCATACTGCACTTTTTCAACACTAAACTTTGAACGGCTATTTTCTTTACACAAACAGAAATTTCACTGCAGAAAATTTGAGGAAGCAGTGATCTGCTTTAAACGCAGCTAAAGATTTGGCCTTGTTATAACTCTCAATTTTATCGGGTGTTTTCAATTTTAAGTACTTTTTGAACTTAACTATATTTAACATTCTTATAAACCGAATCCAATTCTATTTGGAGCCGCGTTTTCCAAACTCTACTAAATAATTAATTAGGTAGTTCAGTGAATTAACCAGAAAATAAAGTTTTATGGAAGATAAATGTTCAGTGCCTGATTTACCTAAAGGCTAGTGTGGGCTGCAGCCTACAAGCCCCCACCATGTTAGCAAACATTTTTTTATGAAAACTAATTTTTATTTTAAGAACTCCCCATCATAAACAAGAAAGAAAAATGATTCTGAAAAATATAAATTTTCAGCCTACAGGCCCCCACCGCACTGTAAATCAGGCACTGGAAATGTATTCCAAAAAAAAAACAGTTACAAAAAGTTAATAATAAACCATGCCTTCTACAATTATAAGAAAATTAATATATAGAATTGGGACTAACCACGCCACTGAATTAATTACCAACCTATACAATTCCTGAATCCAGCGCTGAAGGGTAAATAAGCGAAGGGATGTCTTCTCGCAACGTTTTCCGGCAGGAACCTGTCGGGATCAAACTTTTCGGGGTTTTCCCAATACTCTGAAGATCGGTGTAAGTCATAAATGTAAATATTAATGCCGCATCCTTTGGGTATTATATAGCCGGTGTGTGTTTTGATATCTTCGCCAGCCACTCTTGCGATGAGAGGTACGCTCGGATACAGTCTTAAACATTCTTTAATACATCTTTCCATAAATTTCAATTCAACCAGGTCGTTATATGTAGGCAATTTCCCGGAATGGCCGAGAACTTCTTCAACTTCTTTCAATATTTCTTCCTAATGGAAAAACTTGTTAAAACAGATATTTTAACATGCAAGGTGATTCACAACTTATCCAAAAAAATTTGTGAATAGATGTGTCATGAAAATTGGAGTCAATATCGTAAAAAATGTAAAATCTTTATAGTTTCGAGAAAATAATACTTTCAACCTTTACATTGCTGGGCTATGTAGTTTCTAGCGTCATTCGCGTTGTGCGCTGTGAGTAATGCGCTCTCTATTCACGTGACTCCAGGCGATTTCGGATACGGAAATCCGATGTTAGTATTAACGTTTTTGCGATAGTGTTTACATTAGTTTTCAAGTGTCAAAAATGGCTTACGTGTATAGCAACTCGGAGTTGACGGATATCATTTAATTTATGGTGAAGCAAGATAACATTTGTGTTATGATGAAGCAAGACAACATTTGTGTTAGTTCGTAGAAACTGGGTAAGACGGGCCCAAATGTGTTTTACACGTCAGTGGACAAAATTTAGGACAGTTGTTGTAACATCAGGTGTGTCAAATTATTTTATTAAATCCACAAATTAATTTTATTAATTAATAATAATAATAGCGGCAAAAGCAGTTGAATTTGCTGATATAAGATAAGTGTTATAAAATTTTATTTGTTTATCCTTGGGAAAAAATCTCAATTTTTTGTCTGATCATTTTTTTTTATTACATTTTGTTGCTGTGCATGCTTTGCCTTCCACAAGGTCAGGTTTTACAGTGGACTAGTTTTTAGTGCCGTGTAGAAGTGTATTTTGAAAATCATTTTCGAACTGCCCTTTTTGATTTTTTTCTTTTACAAAATTGTGTTTGTCAATTTTTTTTTTTTGGATAAGTTCTGAATCACCCTGGACATATCCGAATTTAATTAACTGAATTAACATTTTGATGTAGCCTTGATCTTATACGAATCTTTCAATTTGGTCACCGCCGCGCCAGTTACAGACTTAGAACGCATAAACTTAGCCAATCAATGTCAGGAGGTGCCTAGAAATTCTAGAGCTTATGGCTTGTTTACACGGGAACAGTCAACTAAATTTTAAGTCACTTGAACCTATTTGAACAGCGCATAATGGCTTGTTTACACGGGAACAGTCAACTAAATTTTAAGTCACCTATTTGAACAGCGCATATGTGGTAAGTAACAAGTTATGGAGCAAGTAAAAATTTAGTACACTGGAATAGAATTTATTCTATTTTTTCGTGCAAGTTGACGACTTGCACCGAACTTTTCCCTCCTGCTGATGCACTTTCGCTCCCAAAGTCGTTTAGGTCTATTTTTCTCTTCATATATTTCTTCATTTATTTCTTCTAATATAATATTTAGGATATCACGTAGTATGCCATTAAATTCTTCTACAAACTGCTGGCTCACGTTCATCTCGTCAGGTTTACAAATATATAAACTGCACTAGAACTTACCAACAACTAAACTTAGAACTTACCAGTGCGAACAGCACTTGCAGAAAAAGCAGTAACTTAAAATTTAGTTAGCACTTACGTACTGTCCCCGTGTAAACAAGCCTTAAGTGCAAGTCATAGATTCTTAACTAAGGCTAAGGAAATTCAACGGTCTTAAAACCACCATGAACTTAAAATATCTTTTTATTGAAATTTTGTTTGGAATTAAAAAAATCAAAATACGTACTTGAATCTTTTCTTCATTAGCAAGTACCATCAGAGCAAAACATATTGCCATCGAAGTAGTGTCATGACCCTAGAATGTAGAACGTCATTAAAATGCATATCTAATATCTAATAAAACATGGCAAGATTGGCAAGAAATATTTATTATCATTCAATATCACTATAATACATATGAATCGAAGTATGTTTACCCAATTTTCTTCAGACTCTATTAAGTTTGTGGTTTACATTCCAAAAACAAAACACAAAATTATTATATTATTTCAATATATGTAATTATTAGTTGCTCTAAAAATCACTGAGAGTTGTACCAATTTTTTTTTGTAGCAGGAACAGGATCGGAACGGATAAAATGAAAATTTTAAGCTGTTCTGCCAGAACGGTTTTTTATTCACGATTTAAGCATTTCTGCTAGATTGCTATTAGATCTGTACGATTTCAAGAACAGAAACAGGGAAATAATTTTATAACTTTACTTCTCTATGTAGATTAGCGTTGTCATATCTAGTTCTGATACCTATTTCCACGATATTTCTCACAACTGTGTCACTTTATTATTTATTTCTTGTTTTATACATGACAATTAAGACATTCAATTGACTTACGTTTAATCTGTCTTTTTTTAATTTAATTTTATTGTTTTATGTTATTATATACCATGCAATAAAACAATAAATAAATTTTTACTGTTGGAGGAAATATCTGAACAAGTAGCATCACTGTTATCGGAATTCCTATCCTTATCTTAATGTGTAACCTTATCTCTGGATTTGGCACAGGTAGTTTCGTAGTCAGCTAAATTTCATCCTTCGTTGATCCAAACTGAAGAAACAAGCAATCAAAGTTGAGGGAATTTGAAGCACGCGCGTGCTCATTGCAAGACCAAAGCCTATAACTTAGAATCAAGGGCTATATCTGTGCAGAATTTTAGGAATATTGGAGATGGTCGACTGGGAGCGTTGGAGCATTTATAGGTCATCCAACACTCGATGATTTTTAAATAGCTGTTAAAAGTAAGACTTCCAGTACTATTTTCGACAATTTATCTATAGGACTTCTCAACTCAACCTATTATAAATATAAGATTGTTAAAAAAACGCTGATGTTACTGAAGAGTCTTTAAAGCGTACCTACTGCCTGTAGTAATAGTTAAATGAACTTTATCCATTATTGTATTACCTCAAACATAAACGTATCGACCTCTTCTCTAATACCTTCTTCATCTATGTCGGCTCCGTCACACTTGGCCTTCAGCATCAGGTCCAGCATAGCCAGACGTTTCCTATCGGAATATGATATTTGACCATCGGCCGAAAACAATTTCTTTCGTTCGCTTATGACTCTAGTTGATAGCTCATGTAATACTTTCACTACTTTTCGCTGCTCCCGTGCTAACGGAGACAGACTATAGACAAATTCGTTGTGGTACCAAGGTTTTATTAGTCTCTTCATGAATATGACGCCGAAATTAAATACGGCTTCTTTGTACGAAGTTTGGCCTTTGCTTAGATCTACGCCGAGTGAGGTCTCTGAAAATTATGTTTCAATTGAAAATCCCACCTGATTTTTTAAATGTTTAGCTTTCCCTTCTAATTTTTTAAGTAAAAAAATAAAACATCATAAATTACCTCCCAGGGAGCATAGTGTGAATTCTGTAATTGGTTTCAGTACATTTATGTATGGTTTATCACAGTCTCTCTCCAAAACCTCTACCAATTTTTCAGTTTCTCTGTTAAAAATGCTTACAAATTCCTGTAATATACTGAAGTGAAATGCTGGAGTTCGAATTTTTCTTCTATTTTGCCATTTGCTGCCTAAAATATATACTTAGATGTATATGGCTCCAGCAAAAGGTGTACAAAATTGCATTTTTTAGTAAATTCATTCTTCAAAATGATTTAAAGGTTTAGGAAAATATTATTATTATTATTATTTCTTACTGTACAGGTATTTATTACTTACCACTACTTGTTAATAATCCAGTTCCAAGCCATTCGTGCAGAAAATCATATATTTGACCTTTTTTAATATGTTTTATATTATTCAGAACTAACTGTAATTAAAATCATATTAGTCCAGTCACTGAAACATTTTATCTCATCTCAAAAACTACCAGTTTTATCAAAAAATGATCATAAGCAAAAATAAAGGTAATTAAATAGCAGAGAATTTTTGTTGGTGGTATAGAAATTGAGTGGTTCGTTAGCATGAAAACTAATGAAGTACAATAAAAATAAAATGATTTTTGAGAAAAAAATCTGTATTAAAATTAATGACGACAGAAAAAAATTAAACGTATCCGTTCTGCATTCTTTACTTTATTTATGTATTAATAGTAGATTCTGGGAATTTGAACGATTTTAGAAGTCTAAATTTAAAAAAATATTTCATTTACTTTTGAATAAAATTGTTAAATTTTTTAAAAAATCGCCTTTTTTCAAAATATTTCAAAAACTAACAAAGTTATAAAAAAATGATAGAATAAGAAATTGTAGGTTTTTTCTTACTGAACAATTTGCTTTTTTAATTTTTGTAGGACAAAATTTGACTGATTTATGACCGTTAGAAGCTCAAAACTAAGCTCCAAGACTGCCTTTCCTGAGCCCTTTTAGCTTACAAATCTAAAAAACGAAGTGCTCAAAAAAAACTAAATCACAGAACTTAAGGTGCCTTAAATTCCCTACAAAATGTTTTTTTTGAGTAAATTTATAACTTTAAAATTACAAAACTTATGGTAAAATGATGATAGTGATGAAAATTAAATATTTTATTATATACACATGTAAAAAATAACAGACCATTATTAAAACATTTTGTACAATACATCCATTTATAATGTATATATAAAAAAATTATTTGATATTAATTTAATAAAAAAATATTAAGAATAAATTCAAAAAAATTAAAAAAAATTAATTATATCATCAGACTCGCATATAATTTTTAGGAAATATACATTGTGAATGCACCAAAAGCATATTTTAAACTGTAAAAAACTTTTTTTTCTATTTTTTTGGCCACGGAAGGGTAGTTTTTAAGGGTTGAAAAGTAATTAAGTTTCATAAATTATATAAAAAAAAACATGAAAGGAACTTTATCCAACATATTTGAACATGAATTGAATCTTTAAAATACGTAAATCTGCGATTTTCGCATTTTTTTCGTACAAGGGTAGTTTTCACCCCTAAATAGAAAAAAGCACACATCTAGACAATATAACTTTTGAAGTGGAGGGTCAGATGAGCTTGTATGCAAAATTTCAGGAAAATCCATGCTATCCGAAGGAATTGGGAGCTTTTACCTTATTTTCGCCTTCAATGACTGGACTATATTCACAAGTTGATTTTCAAGAAAAATGAGGTTAATAGGTATTTATGGACATGAATGATTTTTTCGTCTATACTTGACAATAATTATTTGAATTAGAATTTGGAACTAGAGATCTCCACTATTTTATTTTATAATATAATAAACTCTAAACGTTTTTTTTCTGTAAATGAATTATTGTTCAAGAATAGAAATATGCATAGGTATTTTTAAAAATGGGATATTTTGTTGCTTCTGAGTTTTTAATTATAGGTAGGTACCTATATTGCTATGATAATATAACTGATAAAGTTCAGAGACATGCAATTGTTAAAAGCATCGGAGGTTACTAATGTAAGTGTGAACGCTAAACACAAAATATTTAAATAAACAACCCTTTGCACTAAGAAGAATCAGTCAAGGGGTTGATTTTATAAATTTAGTTTTGCTTAACCAGAAATACCGCACACTGAGTAATTAAATGCCTTGTTTGAATAAGAAAATAAAAGAACATACTAGACGTAAACTTCTAGTTCATGCAGATATATAAAATAGTCTAGAACGACCTTAACAACGTCTTGTAAATAACTGAAATGAAAAATTGGAGAGTGAGCCGAGTACGACCCTGTTAAGAGCCGTATCCCCCGAACTCTTATAATTAAAGACGTAACGATGTATTGCTAATATAAATCTTGGATCACTAGTGTAAAAATACAATCTTCAGTAATGTTAATAAACTTACTTCGATATCCTCTGCATTTATTAAACATACTACTGATAAAGTGAAACTCCAATGTTTGTAAATCGGGTAGAATGACTTAGATCGTTTCTCTTCGCTATAAAATAAGTAATCTGAAATTCAAATTATGAGAAAAGTCAGAGAATTGGAATGTATATGAAATCATCTAATTGGCTAAGGGAATTTTGAACAATTTATCTAATTTACAGCTTAAATTTTCTTTTTGTACTTTTAAATTTCATTGTTAGCTTAACAATTTTGTTTTTTTTTGTTAAAAAATATACCAATTTTAAAAATTATACTTGTTTGCTCAATACTGAAATTAAATATTTTAAAAGTTTTAGAATAGAATTATGTATAATACGAGGGCATACGTTTTCAAATTGATCCAAGAGCCAAAAAGTCCATGTGGAGTTAAAGGTGGATCTCCACTACCACTTTTGTTTGAATTACAATATTTTGGTGTAGGGGTGACCATGCACCTGTATCGAATTTTATGCGGGACACTGTATAATATTTTAAATACATAATTTAATTCACATACTTATAAATTAAGTAAAAAATTAAATGTTTACCTTCGTCAAATATCAGTTGCATCATTGTACCCACCATAGGATAAGATTTTGGTCCTGGTATTGCCATAATATGTTTCCAGTATTGATAGTTCTTTAACCAACTAAATATATATAGTAAATAAGGTATCATTGCTACTATCAAAACAAGATATTCCCACATTATAACTTTTGTAATACCCCACACCCCACAAAGAAAACTGATCTACCTCCAACGAATTAGATAATCTGTAGTTTGCAGTTTATAGTATTTTATTGTAGATTATAATGCTATTGCTATTGCTGATAACTTTGGTAATATTATAATCCCAGTGACTTCAATTAATGCAGCCAATAAAAACGAATTTTTATACTTTGAAACAAATACGAGTAATTACAATGTTTAATTTTTTTTTTGTATTTTAAATATTTCGATTTCTATTTTATCTTATTTATTTGTGTTTACACTTTGTTAGTTATTTTTTATTTTACATCTCCCCTTTTTCTGTTTTACCTTGTTGTGTAACTAGAATCTTGTCGGTTTGAATATTGTACTTGTAAATAAATAAATTATCCTTCGAATAGAACAATATCGTGTTGGCTATTTGACGCTTTAGCGATGACCTTGCGGACTATGAAGGTTTGGTCAGCAGTTTTGGTTCCTGCGGGCTCGTCGATAAGTTTGTTATACATATCTTTGTTTATATAAAATAAAATCTCAGAGTGGTAACTTTGATTTAAGTTGCACTGGGATTCATTCATTCATTGACTCTGTTAAGTATAACACAGAAATAAAATTGTACCAAGCCTTTTTTTTAATTTAAATCTTTTATTTCATTTTTATATTATAACAACCCCTTCAGGGTTGTTTACAAT